TTTTATACTGAATTGATCAGTACCGGTAACATGTAGCTTGTGACCATTTAAATCTCACTAATAATATTGGTTCGAAAGTGCAACAGGGATCGGGACACGTATTTAATTAAAACTTTTTAAACTCGCGCACCTTGTCCTAACCGAGCAGGGGGGGGGCAAGGAGGAGAACTCGACTCTTGTTCGATGACCGAAGTTAATATTCCTCGGTCGCTGTGGAACACTTGCCCGGCTGGATATTGCTGGATACAACCGTCTTTTTATAGTCTCGAATATAATTACGGTGGATGAAAGGGATGTTGTGTATTTAGTGACGTAGGCGTACAGAGAAGGGGGGGCTCCACCCCGGTGTGTTTCGTCATCTGCTTGAGCCATTACTTACGTCGGTTCCTGAAAATATTTGAGATTAATTGGACCGGATGGTGGCCCACGCCGGTGTTACGAGTTTATTCGTCGAGGGCGTTCAGAGGGGGAAGAGATTCGTCTGAATTGTCGATGTCTAATTCGTTCTTTTAATCTGACGGCATAGTCTGTCTTATGGACTTCTTAGATTTCCAAGTAAACATTATCGTACACCTTTGTGCAGGTAACTTATAAACACGGTAATTTTTAGCCACAAGTTAAACAGACGAGTATGCATGGGCGTAGTCAAAGCCACTGGCCCCCTCCCCCCTGACTAATTACCTGGCTATGCTCATGCCAGTTTGTATAATACGGTGACTAAATTCCTAAGAATTTCTTTCAGTCGCTGCATTTATTTCAACCACATCGAATATTTTCTTACAAATGACCGTTGTAGTAATTCAGGTTACGGTTTCCAACTAACGGACAGCAAATTCATTGCAAAGGTTATATGTACGAAACTGGTCTCTTAATGAGCACCGTTGAAAAGTGTTCTTAATTTATATTTGAAGACTTCGAGTTAACTGGATAACGTAGAGATAACATTGTCACAGCGGATGAAACTAATTTTCCAGAACACCTGACTCGAATCAGCTTCTAATGCGGACAAACTGACTTACAGAGTTTCCTGGACTCAATTATGCAGATCTCTTTCCGTGTTCCCGTGAAGCATTTTGCGCCCCCAGTTTTTCGTTTCACGCGATATCGAATCTGTTCCGCGGGGATTACCATTGAATATCATGCGTGCGTGAGTGGTCTGTTCACTTGGAATAAATCCTATTCGACGTTCCAAACGCGCTCATGTATGTACATTACATACATTACATCGACGCAGCCGTCTTCTTCGTATTCCATTCAACTCCGCGCCCGACTGTCTGCGACGGCATTGTTCCGATGCATGGAATTCGTTCGATCCCGATTCCGTGAATCTCTCCCCGATGCATGTCGGAGACTCTTCGTGACGTACATACACTTTCGGATCGAAGATATTCTCGTCCGTGATCCCTTCGCGACGGATTGAATAGCTCCTGTTATGTAATTGCTGGAATTGAATTGATTTGAACTTAACGAAAATACGGGGAAAGATTACCGGATAGACTCTTCTTTCTGACGACTTCGAGCTGTTCAAGATTAACAGTAACGTGGCCTGAAGGGATGTTGAGTACACAGGAATTTTAATTCTGTTTTCTCCCATTTATGCAGCTGTTAACGTACCAAAATATTCAAGGATTCAGGAAACTGGTCGCTCACCGAACCAACAGCCCCCACGAGATCCTCCGCTCCCATTGTCGTACGAAAGCGTACGACAATACTTAGACGAGCACCACCGCGAATCGAACCGTGGCGATATTTCAGAACTAAACTCGATTAAGAACTGGCATCCATTTCCTCCCCGACAATTCCACGAGCGATGTCTTCGCTGCCCTCTTGATCGATCTGTGTCCGCGGGGGTAGAGTGGGATAGGGAGGGCTAGGTGTGTAGCATCTCTACCGAGCATCAGGTGTCTCGCGTCGAGATTCGCCATCGGACTTTTCCCCGCGTAATCCGGAGGAATTTCGTTCTTACGGACTTAATCGTCGCCAGTAGACAAACGAACCCCGTTCCTCTTTGTTCTTCCGATTCGTGGATATTCGAAACTTTCTCGGAGATCGAGCGTGGGAGAAAAGGAGAGTCCAACGTCAACGTAGGTTTTAATCGGTTTTATTCCCCCCCCCGTTAAAACGGTACAGAAACTTCAGTTTCATAAATATTGGGGAAATATACCAAACGTGTTCCATCCACTTCTGTCCATAAAAAAATCATTGAACATCGATCACTAGGTACGATTCAATCGAATTTTACTTCGGAACGATCGTTGCTCGTGAACGTTTGATCATTTGGCTTTTCCACTGCGGCCCAGTGGTACAGATCGAATTAGGTCAGACGTTGGCGTCCTGTTGCACGGCATTCTTGGTTCAACTCCAAGAACAAACCACTATCTGCTGTGGTTTCACGGTTCGCGAGTGACTTTCTTCTACCTCGAATTTCGCCGCTTTGGATATCTTCTCTGTCTCCTCCGATATTTCGAATGATTAATGCACACGCCGTGGTACGATCGGAGCACGCAAGAATATTCGTTTCCGTTGGATGTTTCCGCTAATAAGAGCAACAACGACTCTCGTGTGTTCTGGTCGTCGTTAGGTGTCGGTTCGGGAATCGGAGTCGTGGAACGACGCTGGAATTCTCGAGCATTGGAAGAAGAGGAGGATGTTTCCGCGTAACGCGATTACATACGGCGCGCAATTTCCCGCTGTTTTATTTAGGTGAACGGAATTACAGGTGGACGGGCGGGTATTTTATGGGGCGGAACACGGAACACGGGGTAGATTGAAATTTATAAAAACCACGGGGCAAGATAAAACACGTGGTATTGTCTTTGCCGTGTAATTTACGGCTCGCAACCACGACGGGACGGTATTTGAAATTATGTTACTAGTTTATAAAAAGAAAATAGTGGATCGCTTATTGTTACACATAATCGCTACATCTTCTAACATATTTTTCGATCTCGACGGGACTTCGTAAAGATTAAACGAACTTAATTTCTTTTAATCGGTCTTTGGGCGTTTTCATGATTATGTTCCGCCTTTTTTCATTACCAGTCACGTGACGTCGAAAGAATCCCCGACGCCGAAGAGTCATAATCCTCGGACAAGGAAAAGGACAATTCTGGGGCTGATTTATAATCCATCGAACGTTATGATTAATGGTTCGCATGATCGGAGAGCGACTATATCTCGATTAACACAGTGGCGTTTCAATTAACCGCCGAAAACACGGAAAAGGACAATATCTTTGCGTCGCCGCAGGAGACGCAATTATACGTGAACGTAACAGTCCCATAATAATTCCCAATTCCGGCTATTAATTGTCGCAACACGATTGTCGAATTATTTACGCGGCTGCGTCATTCTGATCCTTTATTGCGGCATATCACTTAGATCCGAAATAATTTTGTTCCAGTTATCTTTCTTTTATTCTCCGTATGACGGTGTTTTATTTCAGCGTTAACGCACTATTAACTAAGGTTATCGAATTTGTGGTTATTCGACACTTACTCGCGCAGTTTCGGTAATAAGCTTAAAATGGCTGGCTCTCGAGGAACGTGCGATCCATGTATGTATCAAATCTTCTCCGGCACTTCAATATAATGCGAAGAGAATTAAAGAGGTTCCTTACGGTAACGATCACTAACGCAAACCGCAATATGGTTCTTTAGAGAATTCGAACGTTAGCCGAAGAACAAGTAAATCTGAGGAATACCGAACAGTACCGAAAAAAATGGATCTATTTATTGTTTATCACAACTTCGATTACTTATGTTTGCTGTTTTTTATCTACACCAGGAAGGATTTAACTACCGCCGATGCCCGTTGCACCCGTTGGGGGCAGAGCGAAGGAACTATTAGGGACGCCGGGCACGTAAACTCAATAACACGATTTCCCCCGACTTTGAGCTCACTTGTAAGATCACATTCGGATCAACGAGTCTTATTTACTCGATATTCCGTGACCGTCTTGTGTAACACAATACCATCACTAGTCCTCCACGTCCGATTTCCCCATGGCCACGACAAACAGCGGACGCTTTATTCGCGCACGATCCCCCCACGCATTCCGAACTTTCCGTTCCTTCGCAGTTTCTTCAGAACTACTATCAAACCCGACACCCCTGTCCTTCATTCTGTCCTCTGACACAAATGTTTGAGGATTATTCGAGTTCGATGCATACAAGCCGTGGAACATCTTCAATTGTTTTTTCGTGGTTGTATATTTATTTAACAGTCCCTGAACATCAGCGAAAGCATAATACTCCCAATAAATTCTTATTTGGTTCGTGACAAAAACTACCCTTGTCTCGTACGTTTCGGTTTTTCGTGACAACGACAGATTCTAGTAAACAGTCAAAACTTATACTCCATCAAGAAACATGCCTGTGTCATGAATTATTCTGAAAAGAAAATCGATCAATTCTTAAGATTCTCTTGAAGATGCCAGAGTATTTTTTTTTCATTCCCTTGGAAAGAAAAACAATTATCGAGGGTCGTATTTTTTTACGAGACCCCTCAATTCTAGTCCCTCGTCTATACCAAGACGAAAAACCACCCTAGGTTTTTGCTTTATTATTCACGGTTTTATGATAGTACCAGACGATTTAATGAGAAACATATATTACTGGAAAATTGGTTTCCCTCTAGACTCCAGCCAACCGTGTTCATACGTAACAAACTTAATCTTCTTGTCGCGAGAAGTTCGTCCATTTTGTTTTTAATCCACTGTATACGCTCCACGCCGTCCGAAGTGTAATCCCGTTAAAACAACGCGACCACCTCTGGTTAATTAACTTCTGAATTGTTTATCAGTTCTGTATTACTTTACGCTTCGCGAGCTAGTCTCACCAGACAAAGTTCATTCTCCTGAACAGGAAGAACTCTGAGGAAAATGGTTTTTATCGACGGAAAAATATTCGGTTATAACTACTTAAGAATTCCACTAAGTTCCTTCAGTATTGTTTTCGTATTGCAATCGGCTGAAAATCGGTGTTCAAGGATCAAAAGCGATGGGCTCAACGATGGTGATCCTCGTATCGGTGACAACCATGGCGATCCTTTTGAGCAATGTCCTGGCAGCTCTGCCGAGCCAGTGCAATCCAGGATTTCTCGATGATCTTCCACCAAGGATCCGGAAAGTTTGCGCCGCCCTTTCCAGGATATACGAGCTTGGTTCGGAGATGGAGAGTTACATCGACGATAAAGAGAGTCACATAACAGGTAGACGGTCTGACATGTATTACGAACCTATCTAAATAGAATAGGTCACGATGGTACATTATGTGTGTCTGTGACATTCACAGGTTTTCATGAAAGCATTCCGTTACTGGACAGCGGCGTGAAAAGACAGGACGTCGATCACGTATTCCTACGCTTTGGAAGGCGTCGTTAGCCGGGCCACAATCGTGTTACGCTTTAAGAAGATATTGAACATACACACTTTACCTCCCATCGATCGATCGTCTCATCGTTGAGCTATGAAATGATATAATTTACGGATTTTTTTGTTTTCGAGCTAATCGAACAAAATTTCATATAAATGTTCCCATTTATAGTGTCTCACCGCGTTTTTATGTATCGAGCGTGCTGTTCCACGTTTGGTTGAACAAAACGCCGAATAGGATAATCGTTTCTTCTTGCAAAAATAAATTCTTTAGCCAAAGCAGTAAACGAAGCGAACCGTGACAGACGGGTTACTCCCATTTTTAGTTGAAATTATTAAAGAAGAGAGTAATTGAACATTAAACGCCAGCTACCTCTATATACACACTGTTTTAATTGAATCTCATTGTTCGGTGTAACTAAGTTTTCAACGGACTTGATTTCTCCTATAATACTAATACAAGTCTTATGAAAATCTACAAGATTGTTTTCACCTTCCAACATTTTTACGCGGATAGAAAAGAAAACAGTGTTGCTTCTTAAGCGGTTAATTGAAATCCATCATGACGACCGTAATAACCATGCTCCATCGGACGAAGAATTGCAGAAAAACAGGAATCGTTTGTTTCGACAATTTTATTTGATCGCATTGTCAACACAAAAGGAGTGATTAACGACTGTGTAAAAATAAAACGTAAAATCGTTTTGACCATGCTCATCCCACGGAGTAACCGTACTAAGTTAATAACGACAAACAACAACTGAGTGTAAAAGGTTCAAGACGCATGCATAACAATCCAATGTACAAGATATATTTCCATAAACCTATCCAACATTCTATTTCAGCACGACTTGTACGACTCAACTTTGAGAAACATAAAGAATCTTTTTTCTTTTTCGTTCCATCAAAATGGAAATTGCTTGTGTACAGGTTTTTTTTCATCGTTCTACGTATCTACAGAATTTCAATATTTTTCAAGCCACTGGACATATTCTCGTCGCACTTCAACGGAAACAAACACAATTTTCCTACCGACGTCAATCATTCAAAACAACAATATTGCAAACGACTGAGATACATATCCCTCAGTAATTTAATTTTCTCGTGGAAATCCTCTATCAACGACAACCATAGGATTTCATAACGAAAACAAATCATATTATACAATTTTTAAACTCAAACCGCGAACCTATTAATTCCGGAGGTCCAATATATCGCTATAAGAGAATAATTAGATCCAATTTGAATGTTACAATAAAAATAAAGGGCTTCTCTCGGATGCCCGAATCATATACAGTCTGCCTGTAACGATAACTAATTCGTTGGTTGGCAACTAGATCCCTCGCAAACTATATGTACAATCCTGAAGGCACCTAATTGATCATCAAAGCTTTAAATGTGTCCTTAAAATCGCTGGATCGCGCGTGTGCGTCGTGTGATTGAACGATATTTACTCTAAGCCGCTTCGTTAAAGTAACACCTGTGAGCGTTATCTACCGTCAAACGAATTCTCGCGATTCAAGTAATCAAGTACTTATTACTAGGAGTTCGAATATTTACAAGCCCTATCCTATCACAGGATAATGAATCACGGTTCGTCCGAGGCGACTAACAACGTTCGTTGAGAAATCAAACTTTCGGCGTTGGGCCTCGCAGTGCAGCTATGGCGGCGCTGAATGGGGAGGTTGAGGTCAGCAGTTTGGAATTCCGCAGTGCTTCTCGTTCGCGAAGTACGACACGGACACCACGTCTCCGCCGACATTTATTAGACACTGACCCTAAATTTGATGGAACAAAAATAACACAGAAATTATTTCTTCCTAACCTCAATATCTAACCTCACTGAACGAACCTAAGACTTTCCGATACTTTATATCCATTAATGGTACACATTTTAATTATATATAAACGGTATACCCATTATGTTGTTTAATGATTGCTAGTCTTACCTGATTTTTGTGGGGGCTGTGAAGAAGCACACATTTGGTCATGAAAAATGCCACCATTGCGTTACCACCCAAGGCGGTTATGTGTGCACGAACAATTGCTAGCACCTCCGTTATGAAACTGTGCGTGAAACCGCTCAAACCACCGTTCTGTAATAATTAAATGCTTCCGTTAATTTATATTAGCTTATACCTTTATTAAATACCGGATGCTGAACATCGAACGAACCTCTCTGATTGACGTGCTTTCGCGAATAAAGAAGAAGTTCAAGTTCCCTAAATATCTATCTATCCGACCACCCGGTAAATAAGACAGTGGCGTTATGTCTACACCGTATCTTCCTTTTAAAGGCACCTGCGAAATATAAGTTAACATTTAAAATACCCTGTATATGCTCGTTTCAGTACAGATATTTACATGTTTGTGTTTATGAATTGTGTGAATCTTCGACCGCAATGGCGAACGAGTCCTGGATCTCAAACTTAGAGTATTAGTTAACTTAGAGGAGTTCACTGTAACACCACTAGATGCATTGTCCGACGAAATCTCAGCATGATCCACGTCCAGATTAAATATCATATCAGTGTCGTCTGAAAATATAGAGTAATCTAGTAAATATTTCAATCATAACACGGATAAACATTATAGAATTATTTACCTGATTTCTTCACCTGATCCTTGCTCATAGAATGAGTCATCAGCTTCTTCTTGCATTTGTTCATTTTTACTGGGTCACCTAAGCCAAGTGCCATTCCAATTACTGTGAACTGTATCTCATCTGGTTCAGGAAGTGCTAACTTAAACTGCATATCGCAAAGGGCACAGGGAATCATTTTCCTCAACTTAAAGTATACAGACTGGAAGAATAAACAGATCACTATATTAGCATCGTTTTTAGTAAAAAACAAAAAGACCATTTTTAGGTTAGAAAAATACCTGAAGTAACCTAGTGAAGCATTTTGAAGGCATAGATGCAAATTGTCCCGAAGGAATTTTGGTTCTAGAGATCTGCGTGAACATCTGTAAATTCCTAACGATCTCCAGATCGTCAAGACCGGGAATCGTTTGAGTGTTTACTACATGAAAATCATCAGGTGGTCTGTCGTCCATCAACAATGATATTCTATCCATATCCTCTATGTCATCCACTTCCAGTACACAAGTATCTCTAGTACCAACACTAAAATCTAAGTCAGGGAGATCTTCATCGGATTCGTCAGTGTCGGATGTTGTAATCCGTCCATTTTCAACATCCTGTAATGAACAAGTCATTGACTAACACTCCCGGAACGTTCGGAAATAATAGGTATTAACAGATAAAACACCCACCCCGACGGGTTTAAGTCGATAGAACTCTCTATTCTTCTTGACGGTCTCCATTAAAGTCTTTTGAATATCTGCTAACTGTTCTTCTTTGTGCCACGAATTTCCAGAAACAATTTGTGGTACAGAATGAGTGGGTAACGCGGTTATAAAGACAGCAGTGCCGACAGCCATACCGATGATCAAGCGTTCTCCAACAGAGACTTGTAGCTTCAAACCAAATATGGCGTTCATTCCCTTAACCTTTAATTTATTTAACAGCAGACTATGTAACTCATATTCTAAAAATGGCAAGCAATCTGATATTTCCTTCGCATTCAATTCTCCTCTGAGATCCTTTTTGGTCTTGCACACGGTGGCTTGTATAATACATCCTCTTCCGGTCGTCGACACGTTTTCCGGAATTTCGATGGTGGTGAACATCACGTCCGGTACCCTGGCACGTTTGCATATTACACATTTCGACACGTTCACGCGAAAAGGCACGCTCGCCTCGTTGTAGGGTAAGTGACAGAGGCTGCATTTACTTTGGCACTGAACCTCGTGATCTTTACTCTCGGATGTGTGCCTCACTTTACCACCTTGATGTATCGAGGTCGTCACTGACGAATCAGTTTCACATTTTTCTGCTTTTACAGGTACTGGTTTCTGTTGTGTCTTCTCTCGTTCTACTTCAGCGGGATTTATTACTGATCCTGATTGTCCTTTACCGATAAAAACGCTATCCGTGTCCTGACTCGAGTTGTAGAGATTAATGACGGCCGCCGTACCGTATGCGTTCAGCACACAAACATCGTCACTGTAACAAGGAACAACAACAAATGTTGACGTTTAACGAAACAAGGAATAGAAATGAATGTCGATTGTAGAATGGCTCACCAAATACTTGTTTCTTCTCTGTAACCAATTACCACATTACATGCTAATGCCCTTGCATGTGATCGAACCTCCATCCTAACTTCTTTCCACCAGGCGTCACGACTTTCCGGCTCTTCCAAGTTACTTATTCTCTCTAGTAACTTGACTGACCTTGAGCTTACAAGACCACCTGTCTCAAATATACACACACTATTCGTAAGTTTTTCAATAAGGATATACACGAGTACTGATGTATTTTAAATTGAATGTCTTACCGATATGTAAAATAAATCCTGGTGGATAATGTTGCATAGTGATGAATGGATACTCTAACATCTCAAATGCATCCTGATTCATGGTTCTTATCACAGCCGTCGACGTCTTCAGGAATCCGGTCATGGATCTATCATTTGCTCCAATGGAATTACCTATAACATACGTCGTAATTGGTTCTTCAATTGTCAAATGAATGTTTAATTATATACAATAAATGGTTTTCTTTTACAAAAGGAATGTCTCATAAAGTGATATCGCTACTTCTTACTATGTTAGATACCATTTACCCTAAGCAAGATACAGGCAAAGAAGTAAATAATGTAAAAAAAATGATTACCTATAACCATGTGGAAACATCATGAATTATGATATTTTTGGTTCGGGAATTTCTTCTTTGCCGGATATAACTCACTTTATGAGGCACCCTGTAATTTGAATCATGGCCCTCAATGAACTACCTGAAGGGCAATGTGTATCGATGAATAAAGTGCATTTTGGAGCACTACGCGACAAAAAATACAACTTATTAATATGCTTCTATATAATCTATTTGCAATAAATTGCAGATTGTACAGAGAATCTAATTAAATCACGATTACTGTGACTGTTTTGTGATTATGAAGCTTACCTTTCGGAGTGATGCTCAAGTCAGAGTCACTGGACCTCCGATGCAATGACACTGCAGGCTGTGCCTTGGTCGTTGGTACTTGACATACTTTTGAGACCATAGAAGAAACAGCCGGAAGTGGACAAGTTGGACTTAGAGACGCCTCGTCTTGTTGCCTGTGATCGGGAAAAGGATGGGACACACACGAGTTGTCAGTAATATTAGCAGTGTTAGTACTATTAGTAAATTCATCATTGTTCGATATCTCGCTTATATTACAAATGGTGTGGCTCTTATGTGTCGCATGATCGTTGGATGTGGGTGACGTTGAAGGGTTAGTATCGTTTGGTTTTAATTCTGTCATTTCTATGACGCTATTGTTATTCCTAAGCGAATCGCTGCTATGGGTGTCTACGGTTAATTCCTTGGCAGCGCTCTCATGATTTGACTTTGAATCGACTACAGATCTTTTAATGGTGAAACTTCGCTTCGAGCTGAACGACTCGGTCGTTCTGCGTGAGCGTGATTTAATTAAAGTGTCGCTAATGATTATGCTCTCGAGAGAAGAATTGTAGGAAGAGGAATCAGGCGTGAACGGTGGTGGTGGTATGGATTCATTCATAGGTAGTATAAGATCCGAAGGATTGTACACTTGAAGACGTCTCTTCAGGCATCTGTTGTGCAAACATTTCCGCAAATTCCGGGGATGAACGTTTCTGCACAGTCTATCTCTTTTCTTTTTTCTGAACCGGCCATTGTTATTGCCGTTGTAATCTTCGGGATGTTCCATCATTTTTGTGTCGATTATTCGAATCAAGTCCAACATCCTACGTTGCCTGTTCTTGTGGTCTGTGTCGTGTACATCGTTACACGAGGACTGTATTAAACTTTCAATGCTGGACGAAGTTTTCGACATAGACTCCGCAGTGGCTCTGTTATCCGTATCTTCTGCCACGTGAGACTCTGTAGTTGTCAGAGACTGAAACTGCTGTAGCGATGGAAGCGACTGCGTAGACGTAGCAAATTTCAGTAGATTATGCTCTTCTAACTTATCAAAACGTTCCCTATTCTTAAAAGAATCTCTACGGAAATCATTACCAACTTCTTCCGCCGAAGAAGGCAGTCTATCCGCCTTATATATTTGCTTAAGGGATAATTTATCTTTTCTTTCCGTGTTGGTCGCACTTTGCAATAAAGAATACGCAGACGCGGATACCTCGGATTCATCCACGTAAGACAGATCATCGTTTATGTTATCCATATCGGCTGAGGTACTCTGATGAATGTTAATTACAGGTTCCCTTTTTTCATTAATCGATGCAGATTCGCGTTGTTCAATTTCTAAAAAGAATGGGGGTAAGTTTTCGACCGGTGTGCTGGTCGCAAGAGGATGGTTAAAATCTTGCGAATCACTGCTCTGTTGGCTTTGCACATCACCCCCAACACTTTCATTAATCTTTGTTGTCGACACAACATTCTCAAAAACGTCATTTTCAGTCACCGCTCCGATAGTTCTATCATTTCCTTCTATCTTTGCCTCCGAAGGATATGAATTTTCAATAGGAACAATTCGTGATGCCAAATTAAACGGTATTTGATTTGTAGACACAAATTTCACCACAGGAGATGTATCTTCTTCGTGAAGAGGACACGTTTCACTATCTGCCCTTTGTAATCGCAAACGCGATGGCCTTCTTTTTAATGGAGGAAAAGTGTCAAACCTCATTAGTGTTTTAGCAAATTTACATCCTGTTCCTAGTTCGTCATCGATTGAAAACTTTGAATCACGTAAAACGTCGTAGCTGGCACTGTCGATTGAAGACTGATCTGATAAACCATTAGAGCTGGGGGTGTTCTCTTCAAACGAGGAATCATATTGGTTCTTCATCTGCGACTGTAATTTTAGAATATTAATTTCCTCTTTGTAAACGTCTTTCATTTCTCTTTGTCGCTCTTCAGGATTACCAGTCGTATTTCGAGGCTCTGAATGATCGATATCATCCTGTATGTTACTAGGCAGCGTTGTCGGCGATTCACGACCCTCGTTAACATCTTCCAGAGGCACGCTGTGTATAGATTTGATCAATCTGGCTGAGCTAGTCAAACGTGGAATCACTTTACCCTCTGAATCGCTTGAACCGAACAACTTTTTCAAGTTCTTCATACGAACATCCAAAATACTTTTGTTGCCCTCCCCCCTTTCATCCTCCTGAGCTAACATCATTCTTATAGAAGCATCTTGGATTACCGATTCGGTTAAACTTGAGTAAGAAACTGCAGATTTCTTCAAACCGTTTGTTGCTTGCGGTTTTTCATTAGCTCTCCCATCTTCTGATTCGTCGCATGAGTGTTCAAATGTTTTTATCGTCCGTCTAGGAATTCTGAATATTCTTGTGCGACGTGGAAAATTGTCCTTTATACGCATGTTTGAGATAAAAGGATCAGGGATGCGTGTAGGAGTAACAGGATATAGCGGCATACTCTCATCGAGTCCCGTATGTTCCTTTTGTGCTTTGTGTTGTGAAAAGAATACCCTATATGAACACATGCAGGTGGGTAAAAAGAAAAGTACCTATTAGTTCATGTATTCGAATTCCGATAACCAAAGACATAAGACATAAAACATTCGTCGAAAAATAAAGTTTAACCGAAGTGATTGAATTGAATTCTATAATTTTGTATCGTTTTCCCCACATTTCTCGAAACGGAATATATCTGGAAGTACACAATCTTCCGCAATACAATGTAATTCTCAGTTTTTTTATTTAACTGGTCATTGACATTTCAAGTTATTAACGATCAAAGTTGGATGCGCGTGTAGCGTACCTATAGTTACTTCCAGTACATCGCAGTGCTCCATTTTCTACACATTTCGCCCTGGTTTCTATGCACGCGCATCAGACCTCGATCTACCTTCTATATACCAGGTGTCCTAGAAGAATGATAGGCTCATTAGGTATTTATGAAAAGCTACTATAGAATTCTATACACATTTCTGGAAATGATAATTTGTACAATCTGCTAAAGGTTTGCAAAAATTACATTTTTTTTACTGACGGTAACAATAAACAATACCTACGTGAACAAGATAATTTTTTAGGACACCCAATATATAGTTCAAGCGAAAAGTATATTTATAAAAATTAAACGTTCATTTCTACATTTAATAAAACTTATACTCCCTTTTGATGTTAGTACTTCTTCTTTAAAAAGCCGATTTAATATTTTTACTATAAAAAGTGGCGGAAGCGTTTCTCACAAGACGAAAAAGAAATGTGGTTTCACATATAAAACTCTTATTTTTCCATGCATTTCGTTAATAGTAAGCAATAGAAGAGATTGTATACTTCTACAAATAAACTTCAATACTTAATTAAGGAATCAGCATACCACTCACAACACAGAACACTGTAAGGTACTGTTGACATTATTAACATTCCTAAGTCAGAAGCAATTCAATATGTATTACAGTTTTAGGGCATAATCGATCCACAACTTATTCTTACAGAATAGATTAAGCATGTGTTAAATTAAAATATTACGAATACTCACTCTTCAATATTGTCAGATGGCAAGTTTAATGTATCCTGCAATTTCACAAGAGTAACTGCAGTACCTATACCCCGAGCCACAATACCAGATTCACCTTCCAGATCGAAATTCTGTAAATATCTGTACCCAAAGACATATGTATATGTTACTATATTATGTGTGAATTCTTTGATTCATAATGCTCACTCAATAATATAATCATACCCAATTACAGCATTTCCACCAAGATCTAAAGCTTTCAGACCAATCTTCCTCTGAACTTCTCCACTCAGTTTAAAAAATAATGTTTGACGTGCTTCGTTAGAGGCTCGGGGTGTTCTTATTTTATCGATCCACTTGTATTCAGGATCATCGCTAACAACTAATTCTTCTACAAAACCATGAATGCTTTGAGTATGATATCCATGAGGTATATTTGGTGCTGAAATAATGGTACTCAATACAGTTATTCTAAAATATCAGTTTCATCATTAAATAAACATTTCATGTACTTACAATAAAAAAACTGTACACCACAGGAGGATTGTCTGAATTTGTTAAAATCAGAAAACAATTCCACTTTGACTATGATATTAACTTCACCACGAATACCATGCATTGTATCATATACTGGAATCCACCCAGTCATAACTGACCCTAAAATAAATGAATAAGCAAATGCATTATTAAAATTATTCCAGTTATAATAAAGATTATTAAGCCACACAAACCATACAATTCAGCCCCAAGTGATTTTTTAGTAATTATAGCTTCAATCCTTGCCCAAAATTTATTCAATTACTTAAGTGCTAAGTTTGTTTTGCGAAACAGAATCTGGGATACAAACTATGTGTGGTTTAGCGAAACACAATAAGGCACATAAAGTTAAACACATACCAGTCTGTGAACCAGTGTTAGTGTTCATGGCTGCCTCTAATGTCCAAATATTCTTAACAGTAGGTGGAACACCAGGCAACAATAACGGATTCAAATTTATATAAACTTTGCCTATAGCATCATTTGCAGAATATGTGTCATGGTCCATTAGTCTAATCTGTAAGGGTTCATCCTGTAGCTCAGAGTCATCAACCTCAAATCTGTACCATTCAGAGTTCCACTGAGGATTCAATGACTTTCTGCATACATCCGTTTTATATGTAATATTGCCAAATTTTAACTCTACATATGCATCTGTTGTGTCACCTGATCGGTCCATTACTGGCAGATTACGTCCTGCTAGTACTTTCACTTTTATTTTGCCAGGCATTTTGGCCGCTATTATCCCAACAAAACTCTATTTAGAATAAATGTATCACGTTTATTCTAACGATTATAATACTAAGGGTTGTGTTCAGAAATAAATTCCTTAACATTAGAGTGTGGGTAAAAGAGTCGGATGAAATATTTAAGTCGTACGAAACTACTCACTTTCGTCAAAACGCTCGATTACTCTTGACACAAATTATCGTTGGAATTCATTTAACAAACCCGTAGGTTGTTAATGATTCTAGTAATGCGTAAAAGTTTTAGTTTGTCTAGTATATACGAAATAACGAGATGCAGCTAAATTGTTGTATAGTACTAAGCTGACATTTGTTTACAGTCACATCGTCGAAGAGATGCATCGCGTGGTTCCTCAAAGACGAACGCCGCGTAAAATAACGATTTGGTTTTGTACATCTATAATATATGTAGAAACTATACTTGAAAGGAATCTTTTGCACAACAGAACACAATAAAATGATATGTAAATTCCTTAACAGCAATGCTGATTGCTAATTTTATCGATTACTTTATTGCCGTCAGTATCGTTCAGCTTACCCTATCGTTTCACCAATAACGCACGAAATCCAAATATTATATGCATTATAATTGGAATTGGAGTGCGCCCAGATTATTGCTCTTTAAGGAATTCCTATGTTTTATTGGTTTGAACGCGAAACATTGCGGCGATTTAGATACATCTTCTATATTGCATACTTCTATTTTAGGTTACAGGGGTTACAGGGAACGGGAAGTGTACTTCTTTGATTTCAAAATTTATAAATCCATTACCGACTGAGTAATTTCTATCGATTGTAACATGAAAAAAATACGTTACATAGTTGTTCATCTCACTATACAACTAGAAAATTATATCAGCCACAACGATAACTCTCTTACGCAGTAATATTCAATGGTATACCGCGAAAAATATGGAATTCTGTAGCATTGCGGCATGCGCCAGTGTGCGCCACGCAACCAAGAAGAGTTTATGTTTATATTTATCTCATACTGATCACTAGTTTTAAAAAAAATTGATCATATATATTGATTATATTTTTAGATCTTCTAATATGTAGTTCGATTTTAAATTTATAATTCTATATAGTTGCTGAAGTATTTATGTACATTCGAATACTAATAATTACATTCTCGATGCTATTAAGTTTATATTTTATCGGAACCAAATTCTTATAGTCCTATAAAGCACGTAATTACTCAAACTGTTTCGATTCCGATGCAACCGCATAAATGGAGTTCTGTTCTATACATAAGGTTTACTATAGATGAAACTCTTATCTGCTCATGCGTTGGGAATCTCATGCAGTATAATATTACAACTGCAATTCTGTAGCATTTTGTCTATACACGCCAATCTTGTATTATAGAGGGCCTCTTGTGGCCTCTTGAATCTATATACATATATACTTACATGTGTATGTATAGTCAGTCGACAAAAAAGGACACCTAAGAAAAATTATGTCGAGCACGAATGAAAGTGAAATTAGTGAACGGTGGTAGACAGTTCTCCGCCCGTTTACTTTTCATCTGGGCGTTGTCTCCTCGAGAACGAAAAACACTTTCCGTTTCAATTTGCGATCATGGGTGACAATTCCATGAGGTTAGGTGAGTTAGGTAGTCAATCAATTCGCACCTGTCAAATTTCGCAAATGTCCTGTATAAAGATCCTAAATTTTAACGTCGTCATTTCACATACTTAGAGAGTTATGAAATGCTTAAGGCCCTCTACGATTTCAAGGCCACATTCGCCAAAACCCTGAGCTTCCAAGAAGGTGATTATTTCATTCTGTATCAGACTAATACTAAGCAAAGAAATTGGTGGCAAGTAGTCAACAGAGATGGGCTTATTGGATACATTCCTTCCAATTATGTGACTACCATAAAGGTATGCTGTCAATCGAATTACAACAAGTATTAGCTTAATCAGAAAGTTACATGATATCTTAGGTACCCTCTCAAACATTGCTTGATTTTTTGGAGGATTGCATTAAAAATGTGAAGGCAGAGACTAAACAGCAGACTGGACCCTTGTATGTAGAAAAGCAAGACCTTCTGTTGAAATTGATAGAGAAGAAAAGACAAGCAGAATCTAATAAAAAGACTAAGAAGCAAGCACCAATGCCTCCTGATTTTGTGAATACTACACCTAGCAAAGACATATGTTCACCTCTTTGTAATGTGAAAGAGGGAGATGTTAATACAGCTCCTAGCAACACATCCTACATGACAGCTCAAACAACATTGCATACTAATGCTAATGATGATAAAGAGGAACCACCTGTTATACCACAGTGTCAACGTACTTCTATAAGTGATCAGAGGAGACAATCTCTGCCAAGACAATGTTCCTCTGATACTCAAAAAATTCAGGCTGAAATTCGAAAGAGTCCCTCCCATGGCAGCAACAGACAAACTCCAATTAGTTCACCTATGAAAAATAAAGCTTCAACGTGTGAAATTAATTCACATACGGCTTATCAATTACTTGACCAAGTTCGTAGAAATACTCAGTTAAGTTACGAGATGTCGAAGGTAGCAGTTACTGTAGTGGTCACTGGTTTGCAAAAGTTGTTGCCCAAGAATGTAGGCCATTACTTTGATGCAGTCTTACATCAGTTAGAAACACCATTTACTGTGTCACAAATGAGCATAGAGGAGACATATGATGCCAATAGATTGAAAGTAATTTTTACAGAGCTTACTTCTTGTAAGGAAGATTCACAGCAGAGAAGTTGGATGTTGTACGAAGATGAATGTGTTATTGTTGATTACATCAAGGAGCTTACTTCAATACTGGTACATGAAAATACATTAGAAAAATGAACTAGTTTATCTTTAAGTAGATTGAGCATGTACATAATTTACGAATTTTCCAGACGAACGCCGATGCAAACGTGTCTAGATATATTTTGCAACAAGATCAGTATAATGGAGTTAATGTATTAATAGAATATTATCAGATGGAACCAAGGTGGACTATTAGGCAATTACTGTTACAGTCGTTTGGAGTAATGTGTAGTCTCGATTCTGTGATCTTGACCATAATGTTAAACAGTGTATTACCCATGGAATTAGCAAGGTAGTATTAATTATACTCTAAACAATTTTATATAATATTCGATTAACAAGCTAAAATGTATCTTTAAATAGAGATATGAGGAGTAATCCTAGAAATGTGACAAAATTAAATTATTCTTCGTTATTACTTACTATGATTTTTTCAATGGGCGAACCTATGCCAGTTACACATTTGGGTGAGTAAAGTAGGTAATGCGCCGTGTAAGCAAAATTATCTACCGATAGCAGTACACTTTTTCGTAACACAGTATCCCTGATTACAAATTTCATCGCAGAGCAATTGGGCCCAGATTTCATAGCCTTTGCATTGGATTTAATCGAGAATCCACCGGATATGGACTTGGAAGACCAAATTTCGGACTTATTTGTGAATTTGTTATTGTCCTACAATTTACAATTCATAAATTCAGAAAATATAGTATTGAACGCATTGAAGGAAAGAACAATAGCAAAGAGTTTTACTGAGAAAATTTTGCTTCTGTTCAATAGAGAAGGTGAGCTAAAATAATATACAAGTTTATTTTAGATTCTAATGAAATGTAACTGATTGTAGAGGATCCTGTGCGAATTTTCGATCATGAACCACCTCCACCGCATTCTGTACTCAAATTATTTATCGATCTGTTCAGTAATGATATTACTGCAGGTCTGTTCTATACCAATGATGTAAAGGTTCTAATTGATATTATATTACGACAGCTATATGATATGTTTCCCGGAGATAAGGTACTAAATTATAGTAAAAAATATTACATTGGATGTGATATAGAATGAATCTAAGGTCTCTTAACTTCATAAAAAAGATCTATAGTATTATTACGCCATTTACGATTAAGGACGGAGACATTGAGAACTTTGATATTTCATATTTTTTTCAATCATACAAGAAGAAAAAAATAAGACGTAATTATTTTTACAGCGTAGACAGTATTTAGAGTTGTGTAGACGAGTGCTTCGCACCTCCAGCTACAACGAACACAGATATCGTTCAGAAGACCTACTGAAATGTTTTACAAGGTCTGTCTGTACATTAAATTATATTATATTCCAATCGTAATAGAAACTATTCATTTTATAGAATATTCTGTGAGGAGACAGGAGAAAGCCAAGAAGACCAACAGTCGGTACGTGAAATCAGCAACGAATTTCCGCATTTATTTAAGATGTGACATTTATTTGGGTCCTCCGAGCAAAAAGATTTGGAGGATGATGATTCTCTGGTGTGAACGTGGGCTCCGGTATGTACGTAATACCTATGAACGAAAGTAGAAAGATGAATCGACAAGTTACCGATCAGAAATATTCTTTATTTTTCTAACTTCTATTTTGCATATATTTTGCTCAGCTAATTGTAACAATTATCGAGTACGCACACGACTCACAGAATCTTTGAACACATGGAGATTATATTTTCTTCCGATTTTAATTTTTGTTGTAAACTACGAAATCTAGATAAAGAAAGAAAAAAGACATAAATAGATCAGCATTTAGAAAGAAATATTGTATATATAAGCGAGAAACTTTTTCTCTTTCTAAGCATGAGGACCATCAAAATATGGTAGAATTATTTCCGTTCCCCTAATAAGCGAAGCGAAATTAGTCATCTAATGAGATAAAGTAGACTGCACGGATAAAATCGCAGATTAAAGTATTATTCTAATATGATATCAAGAAATTTGAATCCGTAAAAGTTCTCTATTAAAGAAAAATATATCGTTTGAGAAAGTGAAGAATTTAGTCCCCATTGAATAACAGTTACGGTCTCTTGTTCCCTGTAAACCATAGTCTAGTCCACGTCTGCGCGTGTCCGTATAGTATTCTAAGTCATCCGTTATTTATTAATTTATGCTCGACATTTTCTCGTGAATGATATATATACATATATAATATATTTAGTGTATCTGTAATTCATGATATTGAAAACAATACGTTCCACGAGCGTTCGTGATGAAATTTAAAAGTTTATTAGTGCCACTATTATATATAGTTATCGAACTTTCTAGTCTATTGCTAGCGACTCTATTTTTTTAAAAATATTATACCACGTTACGTTTTGCGACTATTGACATGTCAATTACAAAGAAATCTCAAATTATTGTGAATATAAATGAAATGTTAATAAAACGGAACGGGGGAGTCTAGGCGATTTCAGGTTTCTTTGTTTAATTGAGAAGGAACAGAAGTGGGATCGTTTTCAGTGGTATTTTATTAACAACAATAAATACTGTCCATGAAAAACTTAGCAGGCGTGTGATGCATGTGTGTATGAGACCTGTGATGCCGTTACATTACAAGTAATTATAATTCGCGCACGAAACGGTTAATTTGCGGCACTCGTTAAACGGGATGAAAATCTGGCGCGAGACCATTGTGTGGGTGTAGCCACCTGAAGACATTCCATGATAAAAGTAAGTCTCGCGATCCGACGAACTTGCCCCTGAAGAACCGGAGACGCGTCATGACGTTAAGAGGAGACTTGTACGCTCTTTCAGACACTGTTCTCGTGCATTACAGATTTTTTTGTTTTCCTTTTTTAGAAACACGCAGATAATTAGTTTTGAAGTAACGCGACCGTCGCACATACATTGTCTTTGAGTTGGATTGTGCTGTATCACCAGTCAAGATTCAGTTTATTCTCCGGTCATCATCTCCATGAATTCTGGAACGAAGAGCAACCAATATTAGAACAGTATACGACACACAACACGTAAATATAATTTAGTATCGTATGTTTATCAAACCAACTGAACGATAAACAACGGTAAATAATGAAAGTTCGTCGAAAGTACAGTCATCGAGTTGGCAATTGTCACAAGAATCAGAGGCGCTAGTAAATCACAAAGGCTTGATAGTACTGGCAGTTGCTTTGAAAATACGACACGTCAAGAAAGCATCAACAAGTAGCCGATTCTCGCGTCAGCTATCCAAGATAAACAAAATGGAATAGTCGTGTCGGTGGCACCGCAGACGCATCCCAGTTCACTATTTACCAATCCATAGATCTTCCTGGTATTGGCAACGTTACGCAGAAGAATAAATTATCGTTGATGCGTGAAGCAGTTTTGCAGGTTGTTCAGCATTGAGGAAAAGGGAGAAATGCCAAGCGTCTTGCACAATTCGGAATTGCTAGAAAGTCAAATTATGCCGCGGGGAACGTGGAAAACTTGGACTCCGACGTGATTTAATAACAAATGAATCCTGAAAATAATGGTGCAACAGATTTGGTGACTTCCACAGCAGGGAAAAATAATGAGGCTAATGATTCTCCTTAGTTTATGAAGTACAACCGTGCGTAACAAGTTAGTGAACGTATCTCGCGTGGAAAAGGAGCACACAGCGGAATAAATATGCATTTATTTCGCGAGGAAGAAAATCGATACGTGGGAATTTTTAGTCCGCGAATACTTGGAGGACCTTGTAAGCTGTGAAATTTTCCAGAATTACTATAAAATACCGGCAACGCACAATGTAAGATCGTGTCGCGTTTCTGAGAGGGCACATAAATAGCAGGAAGCAAAAAGGAGTGGCGGTCTCGATTCATCCGAACGGGTATAAATAAACTCCAGTGTACGCTTGAAATGCACCTGTCGGCTCTCCAGTGCGATAACCAATGGCGATGTTATTTATCGCGGAGAGGCTTACGCGCGAACGCTATAGCGAGAGATGTAACAGTAAGCAAAAATTTTAAAGAGTATCCAAGTCTTGCAACGAAAATATTTATACGCAGATTGACTGAATGATTTTACCATCGAAATCAACGGTGCCAGATCCATCGGAGTCAATTTCCTCGATCATGATGTCAAGTTCTTCATCCGTAAGCTGGTCATCGAGTTCTCTCAGGATTTCACGCAAACACGTAGTCGGGATGTAGCCGTTTCCTGTTGAAGGAAAACATGTTTCGCCATCTGTCACCATCTTTCAATTCAGCTGATCCCATAAGTAACAGGGTGGTTAACGAAAGACCCCCACGGTTACTAATATACACACGGATCTCGAGGAATCATAATGTCGTCGGTTTATAAACGTAGACACGAAAGTAAAACTAAAAACAGTGTCATTTGTGGATGCTTCCGGTGATTAATACACCACCGAATGGGAACCGACGGGGCATTAATTCACGTCCGAGACCGTTCGGTTTGAATCCGTGATTCATGGAGGGTTTCGTGACGAAACGCGGTCGATTCTTGGCCGGCGGCCCGTCAAGACATCTCGAATTCGGTCAGCTTTCATTCCCATGCGAGACGGGGAACGCGAACAGCTCTTTTACTACGTATTCCGGGAACAGAGGGCTATTCTCGGTGAAGCCGATTATATATCATTCTTCATTCTCGGTTCCCGCCACGCTTCCCTCGCCGGCTCGTTTTCTCCAGTCATGGACGACAATAGACGAACGGAAATCGTTCGCCGACAAAACCGAAACGAGTTCTCAACCGCGCGGGATTTATTTGTATCGACGAGAATAAGTCTACCTTCTTTATCGTAGAGCCTGAACGCTTCCCGAAGCTCCTTCTCCAGGGCTTCAGCGTCCTCCTCGACTATGAATTTCGCGGCTAGCGTGACGAACTCCTCGAACTCAAGACGTCCAGATTCTGGAAGTAAGCAACAGTGCTGGCGTGTAACGATTCCACTTTTATTTCGGTTAACAATTCGTATAATTGTAAATTTAGTATTTCTCTACCACTAAGGAAAGTTGAATAATAAGTTAACGCGAACGATTTACAGATCGTTCTTTACCCACGAATGCTAAGGTGGATTTTATGGTCGTACGTGATAAAGTGGGGTCGAATCTGACCCGAGTTTGATTTTCCTATTTTCAGACGGGTAAAAGAAATGATTATGTTGAACATGTATTTTTATTTATTTATATAATAAGGAATACTAATTGGGGTAATATAATATGTATAAGTATTAAACGTTTACTAAATAATAAATATTTTGAAACGAGAATAATGAAAAAATCATGAAAAACAAAGTGGGGACAGTACGAAAGGAACTATATCTTGGGTCGACCCGGACCTTACTGTTAGAGCGTTAATTGTCAAGGAAAATTTCGACTCATTACTATTACTCGTTTCCATTCAATTTATTCGCTTATTTATCCTTATATTAATTACCGTACCATTAGTTTAACACGTTGATTGCCACAGTGCAAAAGGCAGTACGTAGCCAGTCACGCGTTATTTCATTTTTGTAAAGTCATAAAACGTCGATAAAATATATCCATTTAGTTAAACTGCATTCATGTGTAGAGTGGTAACGCGAGAAGCATTTTCGATAAGTGTTGCTCACTCGTCTGACCGATGCCCGACTCGTACTACTCACTGTCAGCGTCGACTTCCTCGATCAGCTCGTCGAGAATCTTCTTGTTGAAGGGCTGTCCCATCAATCTGAGGATGTCGGCCACCATGTCGGTGGGGATGCTTCCGCTCTTCTCCCTGTCGAAGCTGTCGAACGCTTTGCGGAGGACTGGACAATAAATCGGAGCGGTTTCATTGTTGAAGAAAAAAAAAGTAAAAAATTAGAAAAATTTCTCGAAAACGGTCGGCGAAGAATGGATTGAACACGGTGCATGTGTTGGACGGACTTTCGACTTGACTCTCGTCGGCACGCCGGGTTAAAAGCACTCGGCGATACGGTTCAGATTTAGAATCCGATGTTAATGCCCTTCCGTACCCCCGCGATTCTGGCCCGAAGCTTATTTGGCTTGGTGCACCATCGTTCATACTAGTTAGAACGTTTATTTATCGTTGTCGACTGGCGGCGATCCGTGCGATGAAATTTTACGGTAATTTACACGCTGGCCTGTTCGCGTTATGCACCGGGAAAAGATCGCGCAGTAATTCGGCGCTGAAGCCTGCGAAACACTTACGGTGAAAGAAATTCAATTTATATATGTCCGAGGGATATTTTAAGAGAGTTCAACTCGGAATTGATTGGGCTATGGAAATCGTAGAGAGTCCTATCTGTTACATCGAACGTATTGTTGGACATTTTTCCAATCGATCGATACCAGAGTATTCTTTACAATTTTATTTAGATATCGTCCGTATCGTTGTTGTTGTCGAAGAATGCAATTCTTTCAATATTCAATCGCTCTCAGGCTATCCTGTATGCTATAACCGGTTAATTCGACCAAAAACTCGATGTTAAGTCGGTTAAGAATTTCTGAAGTGCACCGATTATTTTGTTCAAAATGACGGGGAAAGGCCCTATCCATCGTCGGAGTGAAACGAACGCAAAAAACTGTTTCAAATGGACGGAACGAAAGTCGTTGATTTTGTACGTTATCCACGGAGCGAAATGGATTTCTATTTTTCGATCCGCGTATCGTTTCCCACTGGAGAAACCTTCCTCTATTTTTACCGATCCGATTCCCGCGATCGAATCGTCACGCGATACGCGCTAACTCGGTTCCGTAGCTATACATAGGCACCCGCTGGCTGCCCCCGATCGAATCGAAGCACAAATAAACTCCGTGAACGCGTCTTGTAGAAGCGGGCGATAACTTATCCGTTACGCTCGCTCCTTGCTCTATTTTCAATTTCCTTTTAACCGGTCTTTAACTTTCCCTCTCAATTAATCCCTATTTCTATTGAAAATTCACCAGATAAAATTTCGAAGCAGCCGAATCGTGGGGGAGCCTTCGACTAGCCTAGCCAAATTCCCCGTCCGCGTAAACAGAAATTACACGGGGTTTTGAAATCGACGACAGACCCGTTTTTGTTCCGGAATCGTGGCCTGGCATTCGAACACAACAACCCTGTTTCTATGTATCGCGAACGTCAGTTGCGTGTAGACGAGTCACAACGAAGGGACTAAAGATAGGTTGGGTCGGCGAAGCCGCGAGATCTTCCGGAGACGATTTAACGAGGGTTCACGCTGACGAAAGGGTCAGGAAGCCGAAAGGGAAACGTCGACAGCGAAGACGCAGTCAGGCAGAGAGTGGGGATCTAAATTTAGTTTCCGTCCAGTAAACACGATACCCGTTTCGCCTTCGACGAACGTCGGGAGGATTGAAATACCGGAAAGCCAAGAATGGCGCGACGTGCACGACTCCGATCACGTTGAATCGAAGAGCGATCAAGGTGCCCGTTTGATTTCGATTTAAACGCGAATGAATTATTCGGGAACGATTCGATCGGCATGATGCTTCGAATCGAATTTTTAAATTCTTCGTATTGGTGTTTAACGACAAAGCATCTACAACTTGAATTATTTGCTTCCTATCGAATGATTGTTAAGACGAATCTCCTTGCTATATCTAAATATAGTCGACGCGACACGATTGTGTTTCCTCATCTCGACATTTGATCCTGGAGAGGAGAAGGAGAAGGCTTTTTTTAACGTTCCACCGAGAATCAAATCGGACAATACAGTAGAAATTATTGTTGGGCAAGTCTGTTGATTGACTAATTACGTACCAGCAATTTGTTCAGGGGGAAGTTCATCGGCCTGTGAACAGAAGAAGAATGAAACTGAAGGGGGGTATTACTTCGCCGTTTGTCCACTGATAATGATGCTTTCTTGCAAATATTAATTTATTAATTGTTCATATGCCAATAGAGGACGTTCAAGAATTAACCGAGAAAACGATGTTTTGTTACTCTGATCGGGTAGATTCTGCGAGCATGTTACGAATAAGGTATTGAATTAATTCGAAGAAATCTCGATGAGGAGACGTGCAATGTTAAACATCGTACCAAGAAAATTCGTGCACGTTTTTTTTAAAAGTTTTTTTATTAATTATTCACCGGTGGGCTATACTTGCAAGATTAAGTGAGCAGAGAAAGAACATCGATTATTGTCAATAATAAATATAGAAGAGATAATGACCACGAGCGACGCTTGCTACTTGACGCAGTAGAAATAGCCGCCAGTGGCCAGACATCGAGCAACAGCCTTTCTTCCGTCGACTCCGGAGAATTACTTCAATACATTCGGAATGTATTTTCAAGTGATCACTGAATCCTAACTAAAAATATCTTTTTATATTATACATACCTGTTCATAATATAATACGTTAATAGAAAATTTATATTGTTTTCTAAAATGGTCCAACCGATAGGAAGAAAGGCGTGTCCCGATAGAAAAGTCGCCATGTAAGAAACAATCACGTTTCCAGGACCTCGACCTCCAGGGCAACATGTAATCACGATTAATTTCGATCACCGTGCACGATCAATGAACAAAAAAAAAAATAGTGAAACAGGCCAGATATGGTGCAACTACAATTGTCAAGTGTGTGAGAGAGAGAGAGAGAGAGAGAGAGAGAGAGAGAAAAAAAGAATAAATCAAAAACGTGAGACATAGAGAGTACAAGTGGATGCAGGCATTCCGTAGTCAGACATGGGGTGTACGATCGTTTCCAACGTCAGACTGAACATTTACAATAACAACTCCAATAATCGATCCGATAGTCCAGATCAGGAATGCTCTAACGTTTACACTTTTTTTTTTCTGCTGACGTCGAAAGTTCATCATGCTTCCCGTGCTTCATTCCCGAGTCAAAAAAAGACAGCCAGAGTGGGCAGACACAGAAGAGAACGATAGAGAGACAGACTGAAGAGGCGAGGCACGATCATTCGATATACACAAGAAAAAAAAATACAATAAATAAATAATACAGTAGGAAAACGTGTATGTTTACCAGGGCGACGACTTACGATATCATCAATAGAACATACCATGGTGGCGCGGGTCTTTTTTTTTTTTTTTTTTTTACTTTAAAACGGTTACTTTCTTTTGGTTTGTTTAAACACTGGTATTATACTACTCTGTACTGGGTGCGTGACGAGGTGAGTTCACGCGTCGGGTTACGATGTTACTTCGCGGCGTTTGAACGAGCGAGGTGGTTTTGATATGGTGGAGGTGTTGCTGACTGTCCGGGCACTGTCACGAGGAACGGTCACCGTCGCGGTAATATTCGAATTGGAGGATATAGCGGTTGCGTGGCGTGCCCGGACCGCACCCCGCCTCCTACCTCCAGCCGCCACCAGTCCTTAGCTTTTCTCGCCCTCTCTCTTCGCTTCTCTTCTCTCGTCTCCTCTGCCTCGTCTCGCTTCGCGTCTCGTAGCGGGCCTTAAAGCTTTTGGAAAGGCGCTTGCGCTATTTCTGGGATGCAGACGGTACCGCGAGGCTCGAAATCAGGGCCGTCCTTTCGGTTTCCCCTACCGGCCATTTCCTCGTGCCTCTGTTTTTCGCTGTGGACATCATTTTGTTTTCTCTTCTTTTTTTACCTTGGCGCCAATCGCGATTATCAGCTGCGTTGGAATATTTCCTCGTGGCAGCTTGTCTCCATTCGAAGAATGATTCTTCCGAGTGGATGCTTAGGACGGGAGATAACTCTTGATGCATCCGTTCGGCTGATCCTAACGGTGGACCCCCATCGAGGAGCGTCTCTGTCTTCTTTTACTGAAAAGTAAAGAGAGAAAGAAGACTTTGTATAGATTTATTGTACCGGTTAACGTACATGTATTCCAAAACGGAAAAGTCACATTATCCTTGCGATATACCACGATGATACGTCCTTCCTTGTGCACCACTTTGCTGGGATCCCAACGCAAGAACTTAATGGCTTCTAAGAAGCCTCCGACCCGCGTAATTTTCTACGGGCTGTAAAGATGCGAAGCTGGAGATATTTTCGTGAGCGTCCAGCGTGTGCATCTCGTGTGGTGCTCCGAACAGACTTTGAAGCCGTCCATCTTGACACGTACAGATCGTGTTGTCGCTGAAGTATAAACGAACGAAAAAATAACGGCGAACAGGAAGAAGACCGAAAATGCTCGGATGGATCCGTGAATGCAAGAAGATTAAATTGAACATTCTTTTCGAGCCGTCGAAGAGAAAAAAAGACGACGTGGACAAGCATAACTTCTCTTTCGCTCTTGCGACAAGCAAATATCTCGTGAGCGAAAGTGTCTTTTTTTTTTTTTTTTAATTTTAGATGCCCGCTGGGGCGCGTTTCGTTGACTCGTGAGAGTTCTTGAATCGTTCATTGAATCAGCGGTGTGTCGCGTATACGTCTTTTCGAGAATGATATCCGCCGCGCTGACGGTTACGAAAATAGGAGAATGAAAAGTCGCCGCGGCCTGCGTAAACGACAGTAAAGCCCGACAGTAAGGGTACACCCGTTGCGAATCAATGTAAAGGGGACTTATTTGCATCGGGAGGAGGAGGGCAAAAGCTCCGGGGCTGCCAGAAAACAAAAGGAACAATTTATGCCTACGTGCACTGTCTGGTCAGTGCCATGCGACTTAGGCGGAGCACAGCTGATCTAGAACAGAATAAGTAGGTCTAAAGCTGATCCAAAAGAGCAGATGTAAAGTAGGTCTCAACCCTGATAATTAAAGCGTAAATTACAGAGACGCGAAAGACTCACGATACAATACTTATTCTGTGTAATAACGTTACTTACAATATTCAGTGGGAAATCATTTTCTATAATATTCATCTTATCTTTAATGTTTAATTTGTTCTTTACATATGACCACTAGAATCCAATTTATACGTTCATTTTCCAGGTGAAATAACTTCCAAGTATTTTCAGCATTGTCTATACAGTTGCTTCTGAAACCACCCCCCCCCCCCCCCCCCCCCGTAGTTTTCTTTTTACACTGCTGTGTGACGTTTCTTTCACTGACATTAGAAACAGACAAGAAAAAAATAACAGCGAGCCTGGTTTTGCATCAAGTTCCATCCTTTTCCGTGTTTCCATCAGAAGCATCATCGACAGAGACAGGTTGCTTGAAAGTGGCCACGTTTAAGAACGAAATATAGGTTGTTGGGTGGACAGTTGCCAGTAGAGTATCGTTTTCCGGTCTGGACAGCAGTCTAGAAAAACAATAAACAAATACTGCTGTTTTACGTCTCTTCTTTTCCTTTTTACTCATCACCCCTGTATTCTAAATTTCAAGAATTCTGAATACATGATTATCATTCAATTAAGAGAACGTCACAAATACATTACACTGTAATTACAAATTTTAGCTACTCACCCATCAGTATACGTTCTATTTGTTGGTTCTTTGAAACCGTAGGAGTGTTAGATCACATATCGTTCCGTTCAAGGTTTACCAATGGGATGAGTAACATGGTTATTATTGATGGAACATCGCTGGGATAATAAAGTAGGTCGGGTAACGCAAGAATCAGACACCGGGGCCTGTGTGGCTGGAGAAACGTAGAGATTAACACTTTTGGAGATGATCCAAAATGTACACGCCTAAGTGCCACACTATACGCGGCGGCACGTTGTCAACTATTGTTTATCGGCGATACGAGCATCCAGCGGTCATTCAGTGCCGCACGGTAACTTGGTACACATTTAGTAGCCTCCAATTCCGGAATGTTTCCTGCGTAATAATCGAAGGATTACGTTAATATCACGCGATGAAATAAATCAAACCAGGAAGCTGATACGTCTTTGCCAAATGCACACTTATGATTGTGCCAATGCAAATTCCTTGTGATATGAGAACCGACGACATGATTTTCCTTAATGCAGCTGTTCTCTTCCCTCTTAATCCATATTCCAACTATCGGAATCTAAATGGGAGCATTACGGTTACACACAAAATTAAATGTACGCCTTATATTAAACATATGTAAGGCACGACGAAACAGATATTGGAATAATCGAATAGGAATTAGTATTCGCCTTAATTGCATTACAATTGTAAACATTGCTAATAACATACCCACCCATTGAATTCCTTCCTGTTATGTGTACTCGTTTAATTTTACGAGTGCACGAAGCTTTTGTCGATTGTATATCGACGCTTCGACTAACGTTTATGAAACAGGCTATAATGTCTCAACGCCGTGTAAGTAAATGTTTGTATTTTCACTACCGCACAGGAATAGAATATAAAATTTGGCGAGGGATTTTCCTTCGCCGAGATATACGCTGGCACGATTCCAATTCAAACAAGCAAATAAAGCATTAGAATGGCCCGCGTTAGACTGTTTATAATGGATTACAATCCGTGATCCGTTATAACTCTTCATCCGCAATAGGATTGGGTCTAATTGATTCGTATTAAAATCTTTGGACGCCCAATGTAAATTACGATCAGAAGGTTCGCGATATAACGTGGACCGCTAATGCAGTCATACGGCTTGCCAGAAAGATGGATTTTATGATCGCAAAATATTCGGTAATGAACGCGGCCTGTCGATTCCTCAAAAACGGCGAGCGCGATTAATCATTTGTCGCGCATCTAAACATGAAATACGCTCAAACGTGACTTAAGAGTGTATTACAGTCACTAAGTATTTAAGTACATTACAAATTTCTCTGGAGGCTTCTTTATTGGGCTTTTAACCGTGTACTCCATCAAGTTGGGATAAATAACTGTAAAAAAAAACAGTAACTTTTGATGTCTTTTTCGATTGGAAGAAAATAAAATATATTACACTGCCGTTCAAAAATTTGAAGCATTTCCAAAAGTATGTACAATGTAATTAAATGATATATCGAAACGCACCCAAACTTCTGAGCGGTAATGCAAGTAACTGAAACTACTATAAATAAAGAAGATTTTATTACGTGTACGCATTCATTCGTATCAAAAGATCCGTTACAGAGTCTTGCATCCGACATAGTAAACAATTAGAGCCACACATTCTCACACTGCATACATTATTGAGTACCAGTCGACAGTAGTGCCAACAGTGCGCTCGTCGCGCCAACAGAGAATATGTAATTAACAGCTGGAGTAAATGTCTTCAGAATGTAGAATGAAGATACAATTACAAGGACTAAAAATAAAGCATTGTTGTAGAAGATTGAGAAAGTAGTTGCCTCATAATCGGCTACTTCATTTTTCTTCCATAGGATCCTAGAAAAATTTAACTGAGTTATAATTTAACTCATTAAAAATGTTACTGCTTATTGAGCATACAATGTTTCTGAATAATTTATACTGTTACCAAGACCTTGGCCTCAGCAACAATCTAGTAACAACATAATTATATTAACATTCAAGACATTGAATTACCTTTCATCTTTTTCCTTTTTGCTCATCTTCTTGTCCTCGGCCAATTTCCTGCTCATTTCCTTGGTCACAGCATCCTCCCTTTTCACTGCAATCTAGAATAAACATAATGTCTCTATTTATTTAGATCTAAACCACAAACACACCAAGGTATCAAAAATTCTTGAATGTAAGACATTGCCTTTGTCTGTTCATATATAAATACAGTTTACCCACCTTATGTTTAAGGATAAATTTAGTATTTTTGTATGCAAGTGCGAGGGCATATGTACTCGCTAGCGTAACTAAAACGAAGGAGATCAAATTGGCGTAAATGTCGATCAAGTGGATCCTCCAAAAGAGCCCTGAAACATATAGAGGTTACCTTAAATGAAAACTGAATGTTTTCCGTAACGATTTATTTGTTTTTGAAGTTATGATATAAACATAGACTGAAATTTCATACAGATTGCAAAGAAGTGATCAAATCAACAATAAGTCTGATACTTGATAAGTTCTCTGTACTCACAGATGGGGATCGCTGAAACGATGAAGGCATTGCCATAGAAAAGCGCGGAGGATTTCGTTGACACGTTCCGTGAAAAGTCTTGGAGAAGCAGCTCTTCTTCTTTAGTGAACGCCTTCGATTTTCCAGACATTTTCTGTGTTCTTTTCTCAGGTACTTCGAGTCTAGTCCAAACAACGAATTGTCACGATACGTCCACGCGAACCGTAAACTTGCTAACAATTCAATACGCACGCGCAGTAACGGACAGTGTGGAGGCGCGTGTGACGACGTGTCCGTAGGAACGTCACTTCGATGGTGTGTCACCACAGATTAAGAAATTGTAGCGATGCCTATGAAAATGAAACAGAACGAAGTCGTTACGTTTGTTCGCTAATCTATGGACGAATTGTTAATAAAATTTAACTCTTCTCTGACAAATGAGAGTCATCAAGGTATAAACGTTTGTTTGTGAATGTCTTTTTAATCGTAGAGGAGCTTTAAAAAAAAAACATTTTACCTACAAGTACAACTGGTTGTATACACAAAGGGGCCATTCTAGTACTTACAGTTTATCGCCAGATGGCTAAATATTTTTCATCGAAACAAATTTCATTGCACTCGAAGCTCTGTTTAAATTATGTAATTAATGTCAGACGAAACTGTCCTATGAAAAGCTCTTATTGGTCACAACTTCTAAACCAGACTAAGGATTGGTTTTCGGAGATGAGGTTTGCTCCGATTGGTCAAGATCAACGAAATTCAAGTTCAAATAAGTGTAGCGGATATTGTTTAACCGCCGTTCGCCTGATGCTGAAGAGTGAAATAACGCTGTTCTTTCGTTTCTCAACGGTGAATTCCGATCGGTTTTTTCTTTTCTGATATATATATGTTAATGGAAACGATAGGAACCATGAATCCGTGCACGAAATAAGCACTTTATTGTTATGAGAATATTAGGTAATTTGGACTGTAAACAATTACAACTTTGTAGACTGTTCATACGTGTGACTGCGAGGGATTTGACGTTGTATTATTGTGGGCAACGAGGTTTGTTTTATAAGATTGCTGTCATTGTCGTTCGTATACACGTTCTTTTTCACGAACAACACACCTTTCATTTTATTGAAAATCGGATTGCAATTAGTGAGAATCCTTTCGTACTCAAATGTTGTTCTGAATCGTTTAAGTGATTCTATGAACATTTATATTCAAGGAAGCATGAACGGTAGAAGAGGATTTGATTTGTTTGATAAATGATTTTTGGATGTTATCTTTTTATTGATATTTGGGTAATGCATGTATTATTGCTTTATTCGCACTTTTCAGAGTCCACCCCATTTTATTATATTCACATTAATCTGTAATACACTGTTTCTTCAGATGGAGTCACGCTTACCAAAGCCAAAAATTCAATTAGCAAATTCAATTAATCATACAACCAGTATTAACCTAAATATGAATAATCAGAAAGTAACAAAAAACCAAAGGACTGTGCCTTCAAGTTCGAATGGTATTTCTGAAACTCTGAAAAAGGCCAAGAGTACATTGAACATTAATTCTAAAAGTACAATTGAGAATAAGCCGCCACCTAAACAAAATCTTACTAGAGCAAAGACTATGTCATCTATTACTACTAGAGCAATAAAGAGGCCAGCTACTGGTACTGTAATGCATACAGAAGCTAAAAAACTATTCACCCGGCCTAATATTACCCGACCAACAACTATGCAAAAAACTAATGCTGCATTAACAAGTAATATAACCACTAGAAGTACACAAAATGCAACAGCTACGAAGCCACAGAATGCAACTGTAGCTAAGTTTCCTAAATGGGACTTAAAAAAGCGTCTGGCCCACACAAGTGAAGAGTTGTCTAATTTAAGACAAAAGTATAAAGAAATTACATCAAAGTTCAATACTCTTCAAGATCAATTGAACTCTCTTGAAACAAATACCAATACATATAAGGTGAAGGCAGTAGAATATGAGAATCTGAACAAGGTATTAGATACTGAACTAAAAGAGCTAAAGATAAATATGTGTAGTATACAAGAGGAAAAAGAAGACTTGACTAAACGTCTAAAAGAATCAGAGGAATCGTTTAAAAATGTTTCAAATTCATTGAAGGAATTTAAAGAAAAATGTACTTCACAGGAAGAATTAATATTAAAACAAACGTCCGCGATAAGAGATTTACAGACAAGCCTAGAGGATGAGAAGTTGATTAATGAGGAACTGACCTCAGTAAAACATGATTTACAATCTTTAATCCATACTATGGATAAAGATCGTAGAACTCTACACAATGCTATACAAGAACTTAAGGGAAATATCAGAGTATTTTGCAGGGTGAGACCTAGAACTCCCACTGAACTTGGGAAAGTGTATGTGTTGTATATTTAACTAGTGCTAAAATTTGATTAAACAACATTTATGGCAATTGTTTTCACTGTTTACAGGATGTGTACCATGAACTTTATCGATGAATCCACCATCGAGGTTAGCAAGTATGATGGATCTGATTCAGTCAGTTGCAGTGGAAAACAGAGAGGAACACGACAGGAATTCTCCTTTGATAAAGTTTTTCCACCAACGGCTAAACAGGAAGATATTTTTGAAGAGTTAGCTCTTCTAGTACAGTCTGCCTTAGAAGGGTATAACGTTTGTGTGTTTGCATATGGCCAGACTGGTTCTGGTAAAACATATACCATGGAAGGTTTGCCAGGCTTTGACACAGAGGGCATGATACCTAGAACGGTATAATATCGGTTTCATTTACAGCCGAGAAATAATATATTTCAGTAGCAAAAATGCATGCTCATTTCAATTTCTGTATTCAGGTACGGCATATATTTCAAGAGATGAAACAATTCCAATTACTTGGCTGGGAATACAAAATAGAAGCCAGTTTCCTCGAGATTTATAATGAGCACATTGTTGATTTATTAGACTCTCAACCAAAGACACACGAGATCCGAATGGCTGATAGTAAGGGACATGATTTGTACGTTAGCAACCTCAAGATCGAGGAAATACATAGTCCTGAAGAATTGCACAAATGTCTTTTAACTGCTCAACGTAACAGGGCAGTTGCGGCAACTCAATCGAACGAGCGGTAAATTTATGTTCTTTGTCTTCAATACATATAAATTAATTCATACTATCATGTGTGGGAAACGGCTATGGAATTGTATTTTGTTTTTAGATCGTCGAGATCGCATTCAGTGGCAAGAATAAAACTTATCGGAACACATAAGACGAAAGAAGAGATTTCAATCGGAAACCTAAATCTAGTCGACTTAGCGGGTTCTGAACGATTAAAAGGCGAAGAGTCAGTTCGACTGGCTGAAACGAAAAACATTAATAAATCGTTAGCTAATCTAGGTAATGTTATTCTTGCTCTTTTGAAAAAGCAAGAACATGTGCCTTACAGAAATTCAAAACTCACTCATTTACTAATGCCATCTTTGGGTGGAAATTCGAAGACTTTAATGTTGTTAAATGTATCGCCTTTAGACGAGTGTTATAACGAAACGTTAAACTCGTTGAGATTCGCTAGCAATGTAAACAACTGCAAAACGGGCAACGTGAAGCGAACACGAACCGTTTTACAAAATTCTTCATAAAGTCTTATCGTACGAAATTGTATTGCCATACTTTCCTAACTCGATTAGATCGCCAAATAATACATTTTAATTTGTAACAATTGAAGGTTTATGAAACACGTATTTTTATGCTATCTGACAATTTTTTTTTAAACTCGTACAAAATAGTTGTAAATAGTTAAACATATATATTTTTAATATTGAATCTCATTGCATTTTCGTTCTCTTAACTTATTGGTGTATCATTAAGCGTACGAAGTTCCATTTTAGTTATCAGACTTCTGTAAAAGAATTTCAAATACTATTTTTTTTTAAATTCATCTACATTTTTATACGTCATCCCATGAAAAATGTTTCATGGAACAACTTCATTGTTATTAACATCAATTGTAACATGTATTGAATTAATGAGAAATTATAGTATGACTTAACATTCGTTCTCCCCTGCTTGGAATGTATGAATGTATAAACTTGTTATAGAAGATAACATAAAAACAATAAGAAATATATAATTTATATAAAGCAATGCGTTTTGTATCTAATGAAATATTACGAGTTAAGGTTTTAAATAAAAATGTTCATGTAAATATGCATATTTTATTTGAAGCTATCGTGGTTTAAATTGATTTTATACGAATAACATAGCTTGCAGATATTTCAAATATACAAGGACACAAAATACGAGATTTTAAATTTGCTAAAAATTTCTGGTATTCCGGTGAAGACGTAATGATGCGTTTTTGTATACTATTCTTCAATTGAAAAGTACTAGTTCTCTTATTATTATCACGCGAAGATATTAACTTCCCGTTCGAATGCTCTAAGTTTTTACCTTCTGAATATTTTATCAATGAGTTGCAAGTGTTTTTAAATTGTTGAGTATTGAAATACCGGTACAGTTCATGATTGTTGAAGAGCAACAATGTATAGCTAGTATATTTAATTTCATTTTGTACTATGTATTCGTCCAAAATACATTCTGTTACCTTCTGCTCACAACTGAATTTTTCAATCAATTTAGATTGTGAAGTGTAGTGATTACTTTGAATCATTGTCCTTCTATTAAACGTATAACTGCTCTGACCTTTTGAAATAGTCTCTGGGTATAAAAAAACTGAATAGATGTTATGCATTCTGTAGAAAGTCATTTCAATTAAAATACAAGCAACAAATCGTTATACAATAAGTATTCTTTACTCACATGTTACTCCACATTTTTATACTTTTTTTTATATGTTTACGTATATATACAAGTAGCACTGCAAAACATACAGATACAAGGACATAAACATATTGAAACACAGCTTTTAATGTTAGTACCATATTGCATAAAGTGCAATTTGTCGCTGTAATATGTATGACATTTTCCATTGCTTCTGATTCCATTCCAATATTATATGTAAATCCAGAACTCCAATTTTGTGCAGATAACAATGCAGCTAAGGAAAAAGGATCAGTATGCAGAAATCCATCCTACATCGATTTATGTAAACATTTACCTTTTGACACTAAAATGTCTGAGTGGTATATGTTATTTGTGCACAAAGCTATCCATAATCCAAATCCCCAGAGAAATAAAATATTCCACGATATATAATGATGTTTCCTCTGTGTAATCAATTTGGAATTATGAACCATCGCACATTGATATTAGTTAACAACGCCAATCTTTTCCGTTAGTACACGGTTCTTCATTATCATTTTTTAAAGGAGAAGTGACAAATGTACAATTAAAATAAATTTTGCAGTGATAGATCAATGGTAAATCAAAAGATTGCATGTGCAAAAAAAGAAGACAGTCTATGAAGGAGATACAGTATCAATTTCATATATGTATATTTTGTTGCACACACTTATTAAATGTCAATTTAATTTCTGTATTCAGAGCAGGGTCCTACATTAATATTATGACAGACGTTTCGGAAATATTAAGTAAATTTTGGAATGTGCAGTATTTCAGCCCGACTTGATATTCTGAATCAGCAGCTGACTAGTATCTCTAAATTGCAAAAAATGGAGGAAGAATTTGACATGTATCCCCATTCGATGTGTAAAAAGGTGAGTACAATGTACTATGCATTATGAACCTACAATGAAAACATAAAATATCTTATGCAGTGTAATAAGCAGAGTAATTTTGGTAAATTTTGTCACTGTGCTCACCATGCTTTCTCCTTGAAAGAACAGTGTAACAGACTTAATTATATTCAAGAAAGTATTTCATGTGATAATGCTAAAAGAAGAGTGCCATGTAACGCAAGAACATGTAAAGCACGAAAAAAATTACTTACTTATAAAAATGTTTCACTAAGCAAAGGTATTCTAATACCATTATTCTATTGAACAATAGTAATCAATTACCAATGCAAGATTTTCTTCCAGTTCAGACAGATCTGATGAATGATGAGCAAAGATCAATTGCTGTTAGTAATGTGAGACATAATTTTATTTTTCTGGTGCCTATTGAGATTTTAGAGATTCAGAATAAGTCTAATCAAGTAAACATCAATTTTTTTCAGAGAAGTGCACATTATGTTAACAATGGAAAGATTGATACATATGAAGAAAAGAGCAAACAAACTGTTCCTACAAAAGAAGAGAGTTTTCATGCTCAGGCAAGCGTGAATTCTTTGAATACAAATAACATGATATTCAAGACAGTATTGAGCAAAGAAAAAGTTCAGATTGAAGAAGATACGGAAGTTATCCAGGATTCTACTGATTTAAAAGATGCTGATTACAATATAGAAAACGTTCCTATTAAGGATGATAGAATGTTTGATAGAATCCAAAAGGTTTCAATGAAGTTAAATAAACTTTCTAATGCTTTATTTGTATATTAATGTAACGCATGACTTACAGGATCTTTTAAATGAAAGAAAGCGTACCAGAGAACTTGAAAAGAAATTAAAATCCTTGACCTGCAGTATAAATTGTTTGAAAGAAGATAGTGAGCAAAAAGCATTGTGTTTAAAGAGTGCATTACAGACAGCAGAGGAACAAACGAAACTTGCTATGGACTTGGTAAAGCAGTCAACAGCTCAGGCAGATTTAGTCAAAACGGATAAAGATGAACTATCAAGCCAAATTTCAAAACTACATGTTTGTACATTATTCACTAGTATCCTCTGTCTAGGATATTCATTAATGTGGTGGCAATTATTCTTTTAGAAACAGATTGCCGAACTTACAAATAAGAATGCAGCTTTAACAGAAGAACGAGATAACTTAAAACAAAAATTAGAGTCGTTATCGGAGGATGAGACTAGAAGGTAATTTTCATCGCTGTTTGATGAATATTCTTACGTCATCAAAGTATAATCTAAAAACCACTTCAGATATTAAATGCATACTTCAATCGTACAAGGTGTGCACAAGTGGAAACAGAAGTGAATAGAATCAAATGTGCAGTGAAGGAGAAAGAGGATGCCTTAAGTAAAGAAAGGGTAGAATTCAAGAGTATGATTTTGGAGCTTACGAACGTGATTAAGATACAGAAACGGAGAATATACGAAGTTACATGTGTATGTAATAATCAGCAACGTATACTGAATGAGAAAGGTGAAGAGTTATCACAAAAAGTAAGGCACCAACTAAAAAAAAAGTTAAATTACAACCTTATATTAATATCCAATACGTCCATAGAACACTGAATTATCGGAGATACAAGGTATGCTGCAGTCAAGTAACAGTGCATGTAAAGAAATGCAAGAGCAAATAGAACATCTGAATGAGTCTTTGTCAGAACAAACAAGAACCTGTGAATGTATGAAGCAAGACTTGGAAGTTCTGAAAGAAAATCATTCTTCTGAATTAAGGATAAAGGAAAAGATAGTGGATGAGCAAAACAAAACTATCACAAGACATAGAAAGGTAGTCCATACATTTGAAATTTTAATCAAAGTGTGTAAGAAAAATTCATAAATGTACTTTTTATTAGTTACTATATGAGAGTGAAAAAATGGTCCAACAAGTTGCCAGTGAATTCGATCAACTTAAAGAAGAGTTGTGTCAAGAGAAGGAAAAGTGTAACTGTTTGCAACTAAAGTTAGATAAGGCTAATACCAGACTGAATAAGGTACACCCACCAGAATGCGAGAAATGTAAGTCTCTAAGATCCGAGATAGATTATTTAAAGAAGGAAAAACAAAGAGCACTGGCAATTGCAAAATTTGCTTATCAAAAATTAAATCAGTCTGTGAAAGAATATCAAAACCAGCTCACCCATCAAAAGGAACAGCAAAGGTACATGCAACTAATTATTGAAAGAAAAGAGCACGAGATAGGATCTTTAAAAATTCAGATGTATCAAAATAGTTCAAGATCCATTCAGAAGGTAAACAACTATGTTATGTGATGTCAATATGATGAAATTCAATTGTAGTGAATGTTCAAGTTTATGAAACATGTTATAGTATAAAATTGAAAAATTTGAACTCAATGGAATACTCTCAACAAATATATAATAACATATATAGTAATATTATAATACGTATATTCCACTATGGACAGTTTACAGAGAACATATTATTATATTAGATACAGATTTACAATGTAAATACACGAACTGTGTCACAACATTTCCTTAATGACAATTTTGTCTGAATACTTTAATGCGGTCTCTCATTGAACACAGATTGAATAAACTATTTGAACTTCAGTTTGGATACTCTTACCCAAATTTCGAGACACAGTAGTTTAACATTTCTCTTATACCAACTAATGTTATAATTCAAATGGGATTTCCAATTTTTGTCCAAAAATTGTTTATAAAATACTGACATATCATCTGCAGTAATAGTGTCTTTTCCTTGAGCCTTCAACTTATTTTGGAATCGTTTACGTTCCTAAAATGGTATTCGATATTCTAAGATGCAAAATTTTAATATTTCGTTTTTTGTAACAATATCGTGTAAAATTTGAGACATACTTCTATAAAGCTGGCATTGTGACTTGTCCAAAAATTTTGGTTCCAAATTTGAGTATCCTCCCTGGCCTCTCTGTATTTTTTCTCAAGATCCGTCTCATTCTGTGGTCTCGCGAATATTATCGGTCTTAGGTTCGAAACCGGATCCGGTGGCCCGATTGCGTCAGCTTGCGTAGGAGTTTTTAGGTTAGAACGTGTTTTCTGATTAAAATAAAAATCATAAACGTATGTTGAATTGTTGAGTATTCGATTGACATAATAAATGAACTCACTGTGTTAAGCAGCCGGATTGCATTACTGTAATGTTTCAATTGCGTGTAGTTACATGCTCGAGCTAATTTCATGGATACTCGCATCTTTCATGATAGTATGCGTCCATCGTAATACTTGAGACCGAATATGGTTCACTCGTATAGATATTTGTCTAATTTACACAGATCACGCGCATTGGAACAAACATTCACAAAACTGATTCTTATTAAACAAACAACCGTTTATTAATATAGTAACATAAGCTCTGTTTATAAATATAATCTAATAAATCTAATAGTTGAATTATTTCATTCACTACATAAATAAAATTCATTCGTCTCTGTTAATAGATTTGGACAGAAATCAATTGTTTATGCACTTCTGACGCGATGCTTCTGTTAAAAAGATCGCAGTTTTATTCGGAAAAAATTGTCGTCATGATCCGTTTCGAAAGAAATCTTTAAAAACAAAAAAAACTGATTCAAAAATTCGTGAGCAAACTATGCATGTAAGGCTTTGCGTGTTAATTCTTACTTCTAAAAAGAAAAAAGAAAGAAATTACCGGTATATAAGTTTCATTAAAAGCTCGAACGACGAATTTTCACAAATTTCTGGTTGCCTGCACTAAGACTAGAGTTTCTGTATTTTTGTTGTACAAACATTCCTTCTATACTTCATTATTGGTATGTAATATTATCGGCTGATTTAATGATTGAATCATACGATGACATGTTTCCCAAAACAGTTAACGATGCTGTCTACATCGATATTTTATGATTCATATCACTTCCTAATAACGACCTAATGTTTAATTTATCGATTTTAAATATGCTGCATCGAATAGTTCGAGTTCGTTCGTTAAATAGTTAGCTTTGTTTCGTAATACTTTAGCGCTACTGGTTGCTTCCTCGAGTATTCGTATCATACTTGCGATGTTCTTTAGTTCGACGTCCATTTCGGACGTCGTTTCGTCTACTAAATGACACAGACGTGCAAAAGTGCTGGAGAGCTCCCTAGAATGAAGTAATATTTTCTATCAATCAGATTCTGTTAAAGACAAACTAGATATGCAAAAACCGGAACTTACTGTTGCACTTGATGGCTACAATTCGCAGATGTTAGATCCACAATTAACTTTAATTTCTTCGTAGCGTGAGATACGTATTGACGTTTGAATTCGCGTTCCTTCGCTTTGTTAGTCCATGTTAATCTCTCGTAAAAGTACAAAGCACCATATATAGCACCAGTTACAGCTATGAGTCTCCAACCAATAGTTTTCAACATCTATAACAAAAGAACTCCATAGAACGAAACTATTTAATGCTTTGAGAAATATGCAAAGAAACGAATGTACTTACGAAACCACCAACTATGAGACCACCCATGGTACCCTGAGACGTTATAGACGCTATTGCAATTTTCGTAGCTAATGACCAATCATCAGACCTCGCTGGAAAGTTTGGAGTACCGGATATAAACTTCACAGAGTCTATGCTTTCTGCGGGAGACATGATTGCGGGTGGTATCTATCAAAAACGTAAATATATATGTGGAATAGTTACCACCATTTTGCAAGTGTACACTCGGGCAGCATGTATCACATGATAAATTTACTTACATCTTGCGGATAATTCGCAATAGCTAATCTGTGACACTTTTTCCCTGCAAATCTATTAATTATAGCTGTAAGTCCCCAAGAAAATCGAAACTCTAGATCTTCGTGGAAGTCTGCGCACAAATTATCACAATTTAATCTGTACAAAATTTCGAATGGCTCCCTTCTTGGTAAAATGTTCATCGACACTTGCCGTTTGGAATCCGGCAATAAAGTTGCCATTCGTTCTGTCATTTCTCTTTGCGAGTTTTCGATGTTCAGTGCTAATGCAGTACTGAGTCTTGCTCTTAAGTTAGAACCTGTACAATTACAGTGTTAGAATTCGTAACGAGTAAGTTAGCTGCGTAATGTATTTGTACATTACCTAAGCCATTTTCCACATGTGTATGAAGTTCTCGCTTATATACATTTAGAACTAAAGATTCGGTATGAAATGGAACACTGAATTCGTCAACAAGTACGTTTAATCTATGAATCTCTTCGCTCAGCGCTTTAGACACTCTTTGCTCTACATCTTCCACCATGTGATGAATTTTGTCCTTCATTTCCTGAGTCAATAGCATCAACTGTTGTTCCGTGAAATTTAATTTGTCGTGAACTCCCCTTTTAACGTGCAGTTGTTCGCTCTTATTCGCCTGTGTTCTGTTTAATATGTCGTCTAGCGTTTGTCGAATTTCCCTGAATAAAATTCTCTTCAGTGGATCGAACACTAAATATTTAAAGGGTAGTTCAGAGATTAACAAAATATTTACGTGGCAATATGTTTCCCGCGTTGACAATGTTGTTCGAATTTAGTCTTCACGGCAGACTTTGAAATACACTCCTCAAATTTGCGTTCGAAATCTTGAAACTCGAAGTATCGATTTTGGAATCCTTCTGCTAATGCACCGTCTGCAATATGGTTTTACACATATTAACGATGAATAGTTTCCAATAATACTTAAAACAAATTTTGAATTCTTACTGTGAGCAGGTTGACCACGCTGTTCCTGCATACGAGCTTGAAGCGTTTCTTTCGCAGAAATGAAGAAAACACGTTCTTCAGCATCCTTAGGGGTGTACACTTTCAACTCTTTTGATAGAAAGTCAACAGCTCGTTCTTGATGTTGTGCCCTTACCTACACAGACATGAACACTAAATAAATACAAGTTACATATCAGCATGTAAAACACACAGTTTAAAAAGCAAAAAAGCATATTGTGAGATTTTTAATTGTTCTTCATGCGACAAAGTTGGTGTACAATGTACATTGCATAGTGCTTCATTAATTTTCTTTATAGTCAGAAAAGGTCCAAATAATAGGAGAAAGAAATTCGTAATTCTTATAATTAATTAAGTCAAGCAAAGTATCTTACCTCTTTTTGCTCTTTGACCAGCTAAGGGATAAATGGGGTATTATGTGAATTATTTGAGTAAAGCTGCCACTGCATACAGCTAATGTATCAGTATGTCTATATTTAAATGTGTCTTTATAAATAGTAAATAAGTTATATGTAAAAAAAATCTCAGACTAATAACGTTAATATGTAGTACCAGCTTTAATGGATTATATTTTATATGAAATTTATTTTATCTTTGAGATATTTTTTCCAAACGTAGTTCTTCAATCAGTTCAATACATTATGAGCTTGAACCTTATGTATGCATACCTGCTCAAAAAATTCTGGTTCTGAAGCAGATGCATCCCATCTGTTATTCAGAATAAAGATATTGGGTTTAGATAATTTTGTAGATACTTTGTGGAAAAAGTTTTTTTCCTGCAATTACAATATTCATTAGATATTGCAGCTTACATATGTATTCATTTAACTTAAAGATCAAACCACTTACAGTAACCATTAAAGTAGATTCAGCATTGGCTACCAGAACAAAAACATCTGCATCCAAACAATGTTTATCAATCCATTCATCTAGATTTGGTGTCACATCAACTCCAGGACTGTCAACAAATACTACATCGTCTCGTAATAGTAAACATTTTTCTTTTGGCCAAAATATCCTAACCAAATGGCTCTCGCAAAGTTTCTCTTTGCAAAGAGCATGACCCAATTGACCTACTGACTGAACTGGTTGTTTTTCAGTGGACCCTTCTGTAATGAGGTAAGATTCTCCATTGTCTGAACCTTCCACTTGTAAGAAACAGTTTGTTGTGTGTCCTATACCGCTAGGCAAAATCTTATCGCGCAACATTGCATTGATAACTGTACTCTTTCCATTGCTAGTTCTGCAACATACATAATATTTAGCACAAAAGTCATTATACTTATAGCTCAATGTCATTAGAATCTGATACCTTCCAAAAAAGGCAACTTTCATGTGATCCCGCTGAAGTACATCTCTAATTCCATGAACTTTTTCAACATAACTTGCAATTCTGTGAGCTTCTTCTAGTGTGACAATGTTGCCCTCACCTTGCAGTGCTACAAAAATAAATTTAAAGTAATTATCCTACACTTACAAGATAATCATTTTTTCAGCTACTATCAGTAGATATATCACAGAATAGTATTTACATTTCATAAATCCCACAGTATCCTGCACATAGTCTTCTATTTCCACGAATATGTCATTAATCTTTTTCTTGGCCTTAACAAAAATCTGAAGGGGAGAATTATCAGTTCTTATATCTGTAGATCTCATGTGGCTGTCTCCTCCAATCATGGACATTGTACGATTGATGTAGGCAGCCATAGTTCTTTATATGTTTATTGTGTACACAATGTGTTTAGCAAAGTAAGAAAAAATGTGGTGCAATATATTAGGCAGGACGTTGATGCAGTGCACAGCATGCAGGATCAACTGAAATCATAAGAAAAGCAACAGTTAAACACTTTCTAATAACAATATCGATCTACAAGGTTCAATGTAAGATTTATTTTATGTACAAGTAAATACGTAGCAAACATATATGTGTACAGGAACATACACATACTAAGCAACAGTGTAACATTTTAAATGGCTTTATACATCTAGTTAAACTAAAAATTAAACAAAAGAAAATCAAAATTTAAACAATAGAAGAAAATCTTAATGGGTCAATAATCATTCAATATGTATATAATAAATCAAGCTACTAAACTAATATACATTTGACTTATAAAATGCCTAAATTTCAAACAAGATAAAAATTGATATATATTCTGGATTCCTCTACATGTGTGCCACATATACATATACACATATGATTAAGTATAAAAAGATCTGTCACATGTAGTAAGCACTATGTAATGTTTATAACAATATAATGAAACCTTTTTATCTTTAGTCATTGAAGTGTCCTTTGTTGTAACACAAGTTAGTTTAACTTTGAATGTCTTCTTTTATTCCAAATCTTCTAAAACAATTTATTGGAATGTCAGTACAGAAAACATCTGTAATACTTCCAATTTTAAACTACAATTATAATTGAAATATTGTAATTGTTCGAAATATGCATGAGAAAGAAGTTTAGAGTAGTCAATATTGAATATGATTGCGTAAAAATTGCATTTTCAATTCTACTTTTTTGCCGACCGAAGTTATGTCATTTATGCAGATTGTGATATTTATAAATTCTGACAAATTGATGTGTACATTTTGTATAACGCGATTGCAACAGAATATTTTGCGACTCCGTATCTCCCATTTGCAATGAAGACGCACATTGACTCACAGATTGATCAAGTAACAGATAATATCTGTTTACTCTATGAATATCCATACGCAAGAAAAATATTTGCGTAGCAAAAAAATTAAAAATATACTTTGGACTGTATGCCGAAATCTAACCTTATGAAAACGCGAGATTTCTGTCTAGTTTGTAAGCTTATGTTCTTACCAAATAGTCACTGTTTTTCTATCATCGTATTTCTAATTGAATAAGGATTGAATCGTAGATAAAACAACGCATAACATTTCGTGATTATAAAACATCTAACGAACTAACAATTAGATCGAAATACACTAAAATAAGTTCATGTGTGAACTGATTGGAAGAAGTAGCAAACACGTGACTCTCGTGAGCTGAGGCTAATTTTCAAGTATCATCATTGCACAAAAAAATCTTCGAAACTACTGGAAACTACTTATTCGGAACACCAAGTTTTTGCACACTTTTTTAATATACATTGAAATATATTTCATTGCAAATGGTAATTTAAATTAATTAGAATTCTTAAACTAAAAAAACTAGTAGTGTTCCTTGAAATTATATTTATGGTTATTTCTTTTTATTTATCCATTATGCCCCGTGTTTGTCCTTCAGCTTTACATCTTATTTAATTGCAAGTATTTGACATTACTTGGTGAATCTTCAAGGGTAAAAACGTTTAAAACACCTATTTATATGTTATATATAGATGTTAAAATAATATCTGTACATATATAGAGGTAATCTCCTATGCTCCAGTAATTGTTATCAGACCTTAAATTATACTTAAATATTTGTGATAGAAATAATTTCTAGATGGAATACATACGCAGATAATATTTGCATTACTGATAATCAATTGAAAATCACTACGTAAGGATAGCCCTCTAGCGGTAAAATACTTTACCGTACATAGCGGAAATGTGAATTAGTGCTGTAGCTTAGCCTGTTTACTGCCATTTACTGCTGTTTACACGAGGCGCACACCCGCGTAGGATCCAACCGATTAATACGATACTCTGTGATTATAATTAGTTTTAATATTCATAAGTATTCGTCTCTGATGCAATAACATGCCTAACGGGTTCGAACATTCAGTCAAAGTCCCCAGACTTTACAAATCTGCATCCAAAATCATTCGAGACGTTCGTGAGAAAGGTGGCAGTCTCAAGTCGTTGATTTATGAACAGAGGCATCCTGTAAGTTATACTATACGGATTAAAAATAAAATCAGCGAACAATACCATAAATATATAATATAACGATTTGAAAATAGTTTAAATAATTTGACATCCTTAGTTTTTTTTTTATGGGTGATCCGACTACACTTTAATCACGTGGTTTTCAAAGATGTTTTTTTTCAAATAATTTTCAATTTATCTTATCGTAATGTTAATTGTAATTTTTTCTGCATTTTTATCTGATAATGTAGAATGTGTCTGCAATATATTCTCTATGCCTTAATGCATTGCAAAAAGAAACGCAATTGGTTCATCTTATGAACAAAACTGGTATACTAATGAAAGAAACCCGTTTGGATCCATGGTTGGCAAAAATCCTTATAACCGAACTTCTCTGGGGAAAGAAAACCCTGAATAGTGTTTGCAAACCCGCTCAGACTGTTCTTAATTATGAAAAACAATTGAAAGAAGAATTGAACCACTGTGGTGTTGTAGAAGCACATTTGCCACTTACCAAAGCAGGTAAACAAATTATTGTATTCATTTACCAATAAATGCGTGTTATCTTTACAGAAATGGGTGATTCCTGTGCAAGGAAATTAATAGCCAGGTTGGGACAAGTATTTGAGATATATTAAATTGTTTCCTTGTATAAGGGATATTGTGTATCCGGATTGATGGTTTTAATCATCCGCAACAACCGAATACTCACTAGCAGGCAATCTAGAATTAGAAAGTTTTTGTCTTATGTGCACAAAGATCGGCAAAAGTCACATGAGAAACAGGCCCTTTACGAACAGAATAAAGAAACCCCAATTATGAGTCTTGTAACTGTGTTGGGAACTTTGTTCCTATATAGCATTGCAATGTTTACATTACCATTTGCTGCATTTTTTGGTGTACAACATATTATAAAGGCTGAGTTTCATGTAGATAGATTTGTAACAAATTGCATTTCTGTATTTGCAGCTGTGATCACAGTTAATTTGATAATAGCTTGTTATGTTTATCAGGCTCTTCATGAACCTGATAATACATTAGAAATTGAAGATATTGTGGATCAGCCTACTAAAGAAAGTCTTAATAAAAAAGTTAATTGAACAGAAATCATGAATGTAACATACAATTATTATATTGTACTTACAATGCAGATAATATTATATTACAGTATTTACAATATGTTACTAACATATTCATATATGTAATCGTAGAGTTAAATGTAGTTTGTATATTTATATATTTTTTTACTATATTCTATTATGTTGTGATTAAGATAAGGCCAGTATATAATATAATTCAATATGTATATAACAATAAATAACTTAGTCAGAGAGCAGTGACTTTTACTTTACATCCATTATCTATTTTTTTTTCAGTACGAAAACCGAGATACGTTCGTGTCAACACTTTATTGTTGCCACTGAATAAGGCGTTATCTTATTTCAAAGAAGAGGGATGGTTACTTCTACCGAAATGCCTGAATTACACGGCACATCTCACTGCTGTAAAAAATTTAACAAAACCAAAATTTATTCAGGACTTCCATGTCCCAGAATTACTCGTTTTTCCACCTAACACGACTTTCCACGACCATTCTGGGTATCAGAATGGAGAAATCATTTTACAAGATAAGGTAACATTCGCCATTGCTACAAACAAACGACTTATTGTGGTCTGTACAGCGTTTGTTCATTTTTTTCATTTCCCTTTTGTAGGCCAGTTGTCTTCCAGCCCAATTACTAAATCCAAAACCTGGTTCTGTAGTTTTGGACATGTGTGCAGCTCCTGGAATGAAGTCATCGCATATAGCTGCTCTGATGAAGAACCATGGGTATGATCTTTCTTTAACTGTTATCTATATACGTACATCCTTTATTTATAAGCAACTGTTTCAAGTTCGTTTTATACTTGCAGAAAAATTTATGCAGTGGAGATTGACAAAAGAAGATACACAACTTTATGTGAACAAATCAAACTTACAAGTGCCTCTTGTGTAAATACTCTTAACGAGGATGCATTAACACTGGAGGGGAAAGATTATTCTAATGTGGAGTATATTCTAGTTGATCCGACCTGTTCTGGTTCAGGTAGAATAGTATTCCTGTATTCAAACATTCGAATGATTCAAAGTAAAATTAACATGAATATTTGTATTGCAGGCATGTTGGACAGACAGTTAGTGCACGGAGCGGAGCAATGCACGCCACAGCGTTTGAAACAGTTGCAATCATTTCAAGTGTTTCTCTTGCGGCACGCGCTTCTGAATTTCCCAAATGTAAAGAGAGTTGTTTACAGTACCTGTTCCACCAATCCGGAAGAAAACGAGCAAGTTGTAGACGAACTTCTCGGTGACGTTCAAGGTGCATATCATTTGGCATCCATTAAACATATCTTCAAGGACGATTGGAAGAATTACAGTTCGAAAGATTATAACTGCCTCGATAACTGCCTTTATGCTAATCCCGAAGTGGATTTGTGCAATGGCTTTTTCGTTGCGGTGTTCGAGAGGGATTTGAACGTGCCCTTGCCAGAGTATAAACGCAAGGGAAGCAAAGCAAATAAAGAACCGTCGGGCAGTAATGACATATCGAATGCAGATAAGACAGGTTTATCCCGGAAACGTAAGAAACGTCCGAATAGGAAGAAGATGAACGCCACTCGCGAGACCTCCGTGGCAGAGAGTATTCTGGACGTTTCTTCCGAATCAGTTATGATCATCGATGAAATAAATAATCGTGACAAAGACAATGAAGACGATGAAAAAAACAAGGAAAATGGTGAAGAAAAGAATGAAGATGATGAAATAATGGAGGATGCGCCACCGGCGAAGAAAATCAAAAAGAAATTAAAATCCAAAGACAAAAAACAATCCAAAGGTGAAATTCAAGTGAAACGGAAGCAGATCAAAGTGCAAAAGACGAAGAAAAAGTAAAAAGATATATCAAGATCCCTTGGACAAGAATGCTATTCGCTGTTGCTATATAAAATGTTAAGATCTTTTATATTGAGTTAGGAGAAGTAATGAATATACATTCGCGCGGGACTTACTCCGAACCCGTCATTAAGCGTTCGGCTCTGCCCTTTCTTTCCCCCTTTTTCTTGCCATTCGCTAGAACGATACTTTCCCGGCTATTTTTACCTACATATATTTCGGATAACATCGGCACCTTTTATCGGCGGTGTCGCGCAACTTCAACGTTTTGACCACGACACGAAATCCTGGGCACGCACGGCACCGAAGATCTCAGGAGGGTTGTGTGTCCTTCGGACCTGAAATGGACAAAAGAAATTTAAACAAAAGTAGTTTCATAAGCGTATCTGTAACAATTATTTTAGCCGACGTTGCTTTTCACGATACACGTCCCATAAATTTTGACTTATAACACTTGACGAGACGATAAGGATGTTTTATGAAGAAGGATTGCACCCTAATGAATCGTTTAAGAAATAGCGTTTACAATGTATTCGTTATCGCGCTTAATTTGGTGTTATTTTCTTTTCTTTTTTTGTTTCTTCATGGTTGACTGCACGGAAAAATCTCGTTTGGGGCGAAAAAACCAAGCAGCAAATATCATTGAGACTTATAAACTTTACGGTAGCGATCTTTGAAAGTATTCTGATAATTCTTATGATGTACATGATGTTTCCTCGATACACGGTGAAAAATATTCCTTTGCCACGTATACAAGCTTATCGCGGTATCGTACAACAAAATGCATTCGGTATCGTTGCTTCTACGCTCTGTCGTGGCGACGTGCAAGGTCTTTGATATCCGATGATAAAGCGACGGCTAGGCTCAGATCACAGCTGATAACCTGCTCTTATGGATCGTTGTAATGTTCAGTGATAACCAGGCAATGATAATTATAGAGGCAGAGGTGCTTGCTTTCCCCCCTCCCCCATAATGGGATCGTGATAGCAAAGCAATCTTAGCCCTTCATAATACGATCTCCCAGAAACACGAGTATTTGCATAAATATGATAAACATCCAGAACCACCAGTATGATGTTCTTCTAGGGACACACGATGATTCCAGTGAAATATCAGTATACATACTTCTAGGCTAAAATGTCAAATTCATGATTTTTACCCATTGGAATAATTGGGTAATTCAGTACTGCATTGTTAGTAATAGTGTAGTCGGTAGACCAGTGGTAAATGGGGCTCGCCCCTTTGATAGTACCTTTTCTGAGTTGTTACAGGACCCTTCAACAAAGGTAAATGGTTCTACGTATATACAGGAGCCCTAAAAGAAATAGATATCGTTGAACGGAAAACGAGGATCGGTAACAAAAATACGTATAGTGGAGAGCACGGTAACGTGTTCGCCCAATATTGAGCGTCGATTAAGCTAAAAAATTTCAAGTACAGCTTCGTGACATGGCTAGGCGGTGTACGAAGGGGGAAATATCGGATCTCATCGGGACTTTTTATCTTCACCCCTGGGCCACGACGCTTTCTCAAGCTGTAAAAGAAAAAGAGCGTTCAAGAACGGGCTTTCGGGCAACGGCCCCTTCCAGCTTTTATTGCAAAGTCGATAGTCGTTGGGGGTGGTGTTTGCCACCGCCGCGTTTTCTCGCGAAGGGGGGAAAGTCCACGGTATCACGTGGAGTCTGTCAGAAATGACCGGCCCCACACGTTCGTGCCTGGTTCTCTCTCCCGCCAACACGAGGAAGAAAGTTCGCCCCCCTCCCCTTTATTCCCTTGATTGCTCCGCCGTCCCTTTAACTCAGGTATCGGTGCTTCCGTGACAAGGAACACGTTGACCTCCTTGGTCACTTCGCGCTCGGTTCACGGTGATTCCGAGCGCGACAACGTTGATTTACGTGTTGGCTTTTTCTTCCGTTTGGGAAGAATTACATTCGCGTAGAAACTTCGCTGTTCGTTAATTCAAAGTAACAGAGGGCCGCCAAATGGCGTGTAGAAGGTTCAAAAACAGTGAATCCTTGATACATTGCCACGGCCGGAGTTGCAGAAAAGTAACCCCACGAGCAAACTCGCCTTCCGTTAGGAGAAAGAGTGGAGTAGGAGAAGAACTTCCTACTATTTGGTACCGGGAATTACTGAAATTTATATCAAATTAATATTCGATTTAACCTTTATTTTAGTACTTGAAATAAATGTACCAAGTGGTAGGAGGCCCTTGTATTACGTCATTATTTTCCCTAGCGGAAGCCGAGTTTGCTCGTGAGGATGCACTTTCTCGGAAGTGGCAGTGTACCGAGAGCCTTCTCCATTCTAAATTTTACCGTCATAGCTTCGGCTCCAGTGCCTGCGCAAGAGTGTATCCAACGTGTATTCTCCTTGAAATTTCCATCCTCTCCGGAAAAGTATCGCCGGTATATTTTAACGTGCCCTGTAGTTGATGAGTAACTGAAAAATTCAATTATTTAGGAACGATTCTTTCTTTTTTTTCGCGGAGGACAGGATTACGTTTGTGATTTCTATTACATATATATTCACGTTTGGTCATCTTTATATAATATTTCCTCGGCACAGGGGGGGCAAACAGTCGATAACTTCGGTAGGGTTAGCGTGCGTGTTTCTCGCCGTGGCAGCCGGCTGACCAGATTCGTTCCTCGACCACTTAAGTAATCGAGCGGCCCACGAGCGGCTCGTATATCACGGTAAGCGTGAATCAGCAGGATTTGGCGAACACTGAATCCTAAACTTTCCCTTGGTGTTGTTCCGAGTCTAGATACCCAGGTATTCGGTTTCTTCAGCATTTTCTAATCCATTCAGCTCGATCCCCCTTTGTTCGTGGTTCTAAAAACGAATGAAAAAAATATACACGGTTTCATTGATAATCCACACAAGGTTCCACGAAGAGACTCAACAATCGAACTATGCGAACGATGAAATTTTTGGAGAACACGAATTGGTTGTAATGTCGAACAATTGATTAACTATGATTTCAAGCAGTGGATTCCAGAGCGTCGCGGCGAAGAAGAAAAAAAAAGCGGCCAGAAAAGTTTCTACAGGTAAAAAAGAGGGGGGAATAATTTTGCGTGCAGAAAATTGCCATTTCTGCGAAGCGTTTCGTATTTAAACATTTCGAGTGTACAAGCGTGGCGCATTTGCATAGGGCGAGGCGAAGTCTGTTCATAAATTTAAAACGCCACGACGCCGACGCCGGTCAATTATAAGCCCGGTCTGAAACGCTTTCCAGCCGTGAAACACACGTCAATTCTGATTCTCCTCGGGACTTACAACACGTGACAATTGATCTCCCGATAATTAATACCCGTAACCGTAAAAAAAGAAGAAAGAGAAAAAATAGGAAACGGTACCTGTTCTGAATGTAAGCGAATGTTCAGGTGGTTGCGGTCGAAATTTCAAAAATAGAACACACGTGTAATTATGTGTATAATTCGTTTGTACAGCGGCAGTACCATAATTTTTTCGTTGTATGTTTCAAGCCATTCGTGTTCCAGTTCTTTGTTCTGTTCTTTTACACAACGTTCGGTCGCCGCGGTTGAATTTCTTCGAGCAAGAAACTCCTTATCTCGAGAGGGGAGCTAGGATGATTAGCTGCATGGAAGCTTAAGAATTGCAGAATGCACGATATGAATACTAGATAGAAAAGCCGGTCGCGAAGGTCGAATAAAACAGGCGATAAACGGTAACGCCCGCCGCTGTCGCTACTCCCTTGCCCTGTAAAAAAAAGAAAATTGCAATTGAAGCGGTCGCTTAAAGTCCTTAGACAAACGGTCGTGTTGCATCATTTAGAATCCGTTTTATTATAGATTTTTCTTCCTCGTTTCTACCCATTGCGTCGTAAAACTTATACCTCATTCAACGAGTGAGTAACTATTAAACGAAGGGTAGGTGATGACCATTCAGGTGCGACAAGAATCATCATGTGTCGCAAGAGGACAGTCCAAGGTGTTACACATCACTTTTTTGGCTACGATGCAAATGTGTATTTTTCAGACGTCGTTAATGTAAATGCCGACACGTAGAATCAGTCCATGAAGTGTACATTCTTGACACCACTGTGGCCGAACGTTCTGCATATATAAAAGTATTCCGCCTGTTCAGTGGTCAGATGGCACCGTCGAATGATCCCTTTGTAATATTGTCATTTTGTGAACAAAGAAGCCTCTAATTTTTGTACACCGGACGACCCTTGTGCCCCGTCGTGTGAAATCTAATCTATGTAGAAAAAACATAAAGAAAAAACATCAACATTTTCATGTACGACGGTAGATGTTTAACGTACAATTGAGATCGAAAGACGCGATTGGCGATTCGAGGCGGAAGACGAGGCTTGCGCGCAGGGTGCCCCCGGCCGGGTGCAACAAGTTCGGTGGCTCGTTTCGCCGGCGGCGTTCTCGGTTCACTGACACGGGGCGTCGATGCCGGCAAACGTCGCCGGGCAGGAGAAACAGCTACTACGACGACCACGTCGGCGACCACGACGACGACCACGACGACGACGACGGCGCCTGTGGTAGCGTGGTTGGTTGCTGTCCCTCCGAACCGACACACTCGACGTCGGGACGCCATCGTCGAAGGACGCATGAATATGTATACCGGGCGGTGTTATCTCGCGTCCCGAATGAACCCTCGGTGTCACTGGACGATCTACCGTCGCGTTACCCTTCCTGCTCTAACCGTTCCGTTGTCTTGTCGAATACGGTTCAACGATCACCGCCGTGGTCTTCGTGCAATTCCTCGAAACGAATGAGAACATCATTTTTAAGTGCGACGACGATATTTCCGTTTCGAGTGAACGTGTAAAACTTGAATATAAGAAATGACACTACAACTGTACGGTGTATCGAAGTCCGAAGAAACTGCCTTGGAAGAACGATGAACCAAGGGACCTTGGAAGTCTTGCATCATGGATCTCCTCGCAGCAAGTGACTCCTACGAACATCGGATGATTTATTAATAATACTGTCGACTTAAAGAGGTATTACGGTTGAATACTCGTAATTAACCGAAGAAGTGGAGTTTCAAACCATTGGCTGTAGAGTTCAGCAAGTATTCGTGACCTCGGCCTCCTCGAATCGAGTGACGACACTTCGTAACGAACCGTTCGACACTGTGTCGAAATCGTTTTGTCGAGTAAACGGGAAGAGGCTTTTTTTCCTACAATTACTTCGGTAATATATACATTGTGAATTATATGGTAAACGCTTCCAGTACTCACCTAAGGAAAGTACAAACGCGCGATACGTGTTGTGTAATTCTTGGAAAAAATCCAGGGCTCTGTCTCTTTCAATGGTCCGACAAGATGAAGGAAGCCCATCGATTGATCTGCAGTGAACTGCAGCTATAAAATAAAAGTGCATCGTAAGCGTGTGGCAGAGACCAACCGATCGATCGGGAATACCCGGCAATCACGCGACACGTGGGACACGGCGTGTAGGTGGGCCTTCTCCCTGTTTTTTTTGTATCGTCCACCGTTGCGCATATTACGACTGGTACACGTGCAAAAAACGGCGAAACCTTGAATCTTCCGAGGCGGAAAAATTCCGGGCAATCCATCAAATTTTGACAGGCGATTTCACGGGGGAAAGAACGCGAGGCCCTCGAGGACGACGGAAGCTTCTTCTACGATCAGTCCACCATCGAGGTACGCAGGGGCAACATCTTCCTGGGCGAGATTACGTTTAATCGGAAATTAATTAATTGGATATCGGTGCAGAACTATATCGCAATGTACGCGAAAATTGTTTAAATCGTGACTCACGGGGGAACGTTCGTGTCTGTGATTATAAAAGTGGTCCAAGTCAAAAAACGAAAAAAAAAAACAGAACGTATCACTTATACGGTGTTACATCGATTTACGTTACAATATTACGAAAGCATTTTTGCAGAATATTTAAATTCACTTTAGCTGCGTCTACACTATATAACAAAAGAGTGTTATGTAACAAATTGTTATATAGCTTTGTTAAACAACATGTTTTTCATAACTTGTTACAGAATTATATCTTTTGGATAAGTCCGTAACAAGCTTGTATAACAGTTCCTATTATTAATAATGGCGTCACACTTGACGGATATCATGTAAGTTGCTATATAACACGAAAAATGTAATATAACATTTTCCTTTCTGTTCTTTTAACAAGTTTTATAACTTGGCTACAGAACTTGTTATGTTATATAGTGTAAACGCAGCTTAAGGCCCCTTTTATGATTACCGGTACATATATTTCGTGATAAATAGAATCTACGATGCCATTGGGAGGGGGGAGGCAGGTGCAATTTATCTCGTCCGTCACCGTGCAAAAGAAACCCGCATTTCGGTGACTTCGATGCACGACAGGCGCTACTAATCCTTCCCCCTGTGCTGTTCCTTTTCCAGGATCGTCTCTCGGATCGCAGGACATCGAGGGGATCGTCCGACGGGGTACGGTCAGAGGGGACGAGGTAGTGAAAGGCGGCGGCCTTGCGCCGATGATCGCTGCTGAAAATCAGTCCTCGTGTTCGCGTGCCGGCTCCAGGCTGGGGCAGTACGAGGAGGAGGTAGCGGGCGACGGAAGCGTGGCGGGCGGGGCTGAAGGTGGTGGAGCGGTTGCGACCACTACCTCGGAGCCAGGTGAGCCAGAGCTAATTAGCCCCCCGTAGTAGCGAGAGATCGCGATCATCGGTTATAGAAACACTGTGTACGGAGTAAACCAGATCAACCAACCCTGATTACCAGATGTTCTAAAAGCCCCGAGGGCGCGTGATAATTACCTTCTGTCCCTGATCCTTTTTAGAAATGATGGTTCAAGTTTCGTTTAATTTGCTTGATATATCCGAGTACATTATATCGTTCCTACTCTCGATGCCTAGATCCTGGGGGAGGGAGAAATTTAAGCTCGTGGCATGGGGGTCCGTTTATGATCTAGGCTCCTTACGTGACTCCTTCGTCCCCTTTGCCACTCCCTGCGCAAGGCATAATCTGGAATTTATGAAACTAAATTTGGGCTTTGGATCCCTGAGTCCGATAACATTATTTCGGTGGAAGTAGAGATAGTAGCCTTTAGATTTCGGTAGATACTTATAAGACTTATTAACATACACATATACTTCATAGAGAATTCTGTTTTCATGATTCACCCGTTTTGTACATGCGATCCCGCTTTTCCTTGAACCTGTGTCAAGCGGAAGCAACCTCCCCCCCCCCCCCCCCCCAGTAATGAACAAAGGGGAACAGCAGGCGCCACAAAACGGAAGCTCTCCAAAAGAATCTATCGTCGCGGCGACAACAGTAGCTACACCTAGCGGCGTCGCGGCGTCGACCAGGGCGGTGAATAATACCACGACGAGCACCACGACGTCGATGACGATGCCTGGTGGAGGCGCTCGTAGCGACGAGGAACAGGAGGAGGAGGAGGAGGAGGCCGAGGAGGAGGAGGAGGACGACGACGACGAGGAGGTGGAGGACGAGGAGGATGGAGTGGAAGTGGAGGGTGGAGCGGCGCAGGAGGCGGTCGGTGGCGGCGGCGGTGGTCTTCTCGCGAACGAGGGTGGGGGTGGAGGCGGCATGGCCGGCTTCTGGAGGCAGAGCAGACCCTCCAGTCCCCGCATGCCGCCTCCGGAGCAGCCGGAGCACAGGCCTAAGAGCCGACACGAGCCGGCGTCCGCGAGATACAACAACCTCGGCTACTGGAGGGCCAGACGTGTCACTTTCTACAAGAATGGCGACCCATATTTTCCCGGGATCGAGTTCAGGTGAGCGTTCTCGGACCTCTCCGCCCCCCGCCCCCCAACCCCCGTTGTTTCTCTTGGTGTAAAGGCTCCCATAGACAATACACGAATTGTCAAAGGGGAAGGTGCTGAATTTGGACCATCGTCTGGGTTGGACCGCTACTGTAAGTTTCACAAGAGTAAGCAATTTGCGCCGTACGGATAGACAATATGTGTTGCGTATGTACTAAGTCAATTTGTGCAATCACTACTACCATACGGCACAAATTGCTCACGCATGACAGGTAACAATAATGGTCCGACCTAAGCGATAGTCCAAATTCAGTAATCTTCCCCTACATAGCATCGGAGGTTGGAACTATCGTTCAGACGATTGAATCGATCTAGGTTGTAAGAGCGGTCGTACGACAAATCGTATCTCGTCTATGGGTCGCTTAACGTGTCTCTTCACCTTTCCGTACAACACAACGGCCCTAGTACCTTGTCAGGGCGCAGGTGGCGTCTCTCCACCCTCTCCCCTCCCCGTGTCCTTGATTTCGGGCTATGAATGAGATCCTCTCCTTTGCTACCGCGTAAGAGACATACTGGGTTATACATATGTATATGTACGATCTTCGGTGTGGTTCGACGTGTTAGAGAAGGTATCGGTTCACGATGGAGACCCGTTTCCGTTTCGTCGAACGATGCTCGGGCAAGAAACGTGTTTCCGGTCTAGTCCTGATTTGTCCTGATTCGATTCCTGAAAGATGGCGATATTCTAATGAGTTTACGAATTTCTAGGTTCAAGCCGGGCCGGGACATTGGTTCTCTGGAGGCCCTACTGGACAGGCTGTCGCTTCGAATGGATCTGCCAAGAGGGGCGCGACACATCTTCTCCATGGACGGGGACCGGAAGCTCACCCTCGACGAACTTGAGGACGGTGCTTCTTACGTTGTGTCCAGCTACAAAACATTTAAGGTGAGTCCCCTTTGTTTGCGTAACACGGTTATCATATCGTGTAAGTAATACTGGGGCCTTGAAGCTAATTTTACATGTGCAGATCACAATCTTTACCTACTCTGTGACCGTTGTTTATGGGTCCCTTTCGTTGAAGAACGCCTGCTCGTTTCACTGCGTTTAGAAAAACGAGACGAACAACATTCCTTACGGGGACGATGTATAATATATATAGTTCATGAAGAATTTCTTACATTTCACGCAGAACTTAAAACGAGTCGTTTGCCAGCAACCAGGGGAAAAGTATAGATTTTCAATCGCATTATGCAACCCTCCTGAGAAAATTGACTGGGAAATAAGAACGGGGAGGGAGGTGTCTTAATCGTAGCGGCGGGAAAAGTGGGTCGTTCGATCTGATACATTGCACGAAGAAGAAATAAGGTCCCCTCAAGACACAGTATCGCGTGTGTATATGTGTGTGTGTGTGTGTGTGTGTATGTTTGTAGATCGAATCTCAGGTAACAACCCCCCCGACCGAACGAGAAGGAACCGATCTCATTTAGAGGGCGATAATTCAAACGCGTGCAAGGACTTTGTCGTAGGGCGAAAAGTAAATACTCCTTTCTGCTCAGTTTTCTGTATCGTTCGGTATAATTAAATCGCACAAAGGGGTGGTAGTACTGATGCTTAATATTCATGACAGAAGAGGGGGGTGGTGAGGCTCGACCAGACGTAAACGGCGACTTCTACAAACCGCGTATGGACATTCCCGTGACACGCATACCACCGGGGTACACCACATCGATGTCGAGTTTAAGAGGGTCGCGATACGGCCGATTTATAAGAAAGCTGCGTATATTGCCGTCCGACAATCTTTGTGTATCTGGCCCAGATCAGGCCATCTAAGCGGGACGCACGCAACGGCTGAGCCTTATTGGCTACCGTTAGAACGGTGTACACGATAAGTAGACGATGAAACGACGACTCGCGGGATCATTCTCGATGATCGGGAAACGTGCGTGTAATCGGACGAAAGTGGACGGAGTCGATAGCCAATTATAGTTTCTCTTGAACTCTCGTACCTTGTGGTTTTGCGATGCGACTGCGATCTTCGGCGTTCTCGAGTAATCCCGTGCCTAAAAACAAATCATCTGAATCGGTATAACTTGGATATGGGACAATCGAAGTCTTATCGAATTCTTCTTTAACTCACCTCGATACTGAAGGGTATAAAATCTTGAATCAGAACTCGTAGATAGTATATCCCAAGCAATCCTCGAGGCTTGGCTCCCAGAGAACGGTCCAATTAACGCTCGACCCTTTCAACCCCGCGTTCCTCTCTTTTGCGCGCGAGTCAAGGATGTTCATTATTTTTATGAAGCCCCCCCACCTCGATAGGAAGGATCGTTTTCACCTAGTTCTTACGTAATTCGACATTAAGGATGGCCCACGCCCCAACCTGATTTCTAGGGTTTTAAGGTGCGCCGGCCCCGTTATGCACACGTATGTACCCACCTACATACACCATGTATCGTCCATAGTTTCTGGCTCTCTGCGCCTCGCCTTGTACACACAATCCGTTATTTCGATCGGCCGGTGGTCTCGTGCCCGGGTCAACCCTTTAATCCGGCAAAGTGGCCCGAAGCTTATATGCACGATCCTATCGGTTCTTATGGACTTTGCATGCCGATCGTTGGATTAGGATCCGCCAGGGAACCGGGCTTGTGGATCCCTGACCCATATATGTATATGTATATATTCCCAGTGAAGAAACCCTCTTAGAATCTTAGCCTTGACCCATATTCCTGGTGAACGTAATCGATATCCAGTGCTTCTATGATTCATACTTGTTGACCGTTCCACACATGTTACCCTGTAATTAAAAGAGAGAAAAACTATGATCACCTTATAATGCTTCTTAATTGTCCCTTAAGGTTTTACACCCGGAATTGAATAGGAATTTGAACCATCTAAAGACAAAACAATTATACCACGGACCATTTGGTGCAGATGTTTTTGTCGCGACAACTCATTCTACAAAGTTTAACAATATAAATGTCGTTTAACTGCAATATTTCACTTGTCACGATATCTTATTTTATATGAGAATAATTCATGCTTCCCTCTCCAGCCCCCTCGACGAAGGGAGAAGCCGATAAATCGGGTTAGGGTGTTAAAAGGGTTAAGTAATTCCAGGGGTTGTTTACCAGCGCCACGTGGGCAAGCGAGGATCGAGGGTCCCGCGCGTGAATCCTGCCCGCCTGACATGGTGGGGAGGACAGGAGCGTGTTTCACTTGGTGGAAAAGAGGGGAGCAAAGTGTACTGGTGCAGGGAAAGGGGGGTGAGAAAAGGGTTGGCCGCGATTGCGCACCAACGATCCCTCCTTTTCCCCTCTGCTCTTCGATCCTCTTCCTCGCCACCTACCCATACGGTTTCGATCCTGCGTCCTGCCCTCGACGTCTCATTATATCGTCCCGTGCGTTCCGCTCATCTCCATATTTTCGCCCTTTTGTCGTCGAACTCTCCCGATCGCGATAATAACGTCATTAAAAAAAAAGAGAAAAAAAGACTCTCGCGTCTCGACACCCCTCCCGCGTCGTCGCGACCTGAATTTTCCTCGTGGTGAAAAAAAAAACTTATCCAGATCTCGCGCCACGGAACCGAATTAATAAGGGCAGAAAGTGGGTTGTAGGGTTAATTTGCACTCCCCAACGTTTCCCCTTCCGTTGAATTTGCAATTAAAAACGACCTGGAAGTATATAAACGGAGGAGCGTTTTCGAGAACGACGCACTTTCTATGACGCATCAAATCCATGAGAATGTACCCTATTTCTCATTATAGGAAACGGAAGCAGCATCTTTTAGGCCCTAAAATTTAAGGTATCGAGTTCCTGTCTCGTCCCTGGGTGTTCTTTGTGTCGATACGAAGCTTTTCTCAGCGATTTGCTACGTCGCCGAGCCTCTCCGAGAAGGCATGAATCACAGAGCAGTGTCGAGGGGGTAAGCGGGTTGGTTCGTACTTCCGTTAAGGAGACCGATGCAGGGCTTCTCGGCCCGTAGGGCGGCCAGCTAGGGAGAGACCGTATCTCATTGACCGTTGGTCAGCCCCGCAAGGGATCAATAAACACAAAGTTCTCCCCCACGGACGATTCACAAACCACACGTTTCTACTACTGCGTTTCCGTGATTCGATGAAATCCGTGCAGAGGGGGGGCCTGTTTGAAACTTTGATTCGGTATCGTACAGTTACCCGCTATCCAGTTTCCTGCAAGTAAATATTATCCACTGAATCGCTAGTATGTGTCTTTTTCTCAGAGCATTACCAAAAGCGTGAAATATCCGGTGGCCACACGTTATTGCACGGTTGTTTCGTTGTTAAGTGAAGTCGTAAACGTGGTCGCTCGGCGCCCTGTTCGAATCAATAGCCTCAAATCGAAGATACTCGATAAACGTCGGTCTCGCGGACGTGTATTACGTACACGCTTGCGGGGCCGGGAGTTTGCGGCAGTAATAAACTGTTACTTCCGACCGCAGCGGTAACGCCGTTCGCGAGAGACGGCCGTAAGCATAATTGATTGCGTCAACTGGCAGTCGCCTCTGATCGGTGCTATATCTTGCCACCGGTTTCTCGTCACTTCCGCTCCTCCGCGACATTAATTTTTCACCCGCGTTATCGCCCTCTAGTGACGCTTCCCTCCACCCCATGAGGGTGTGGAACAGTAATCGCAGCGGGTAACATTCAATTATCACACCTGACTCTGCGCCATATTGGATCATTGGACGAGAATCTGACCGTTTCGTTCTGTATAATCGAAACGACACATCATTCATTTCTTTACCGGTTTCTTCTCGATCGGTGTTATTGTTAGTACACCTTAATGAATCAACTCGATTGAATGAATTTCAAATATTATCGAAATCGAAGCGTCTAAAAAACGTGATTACTTTAGCTTGAATGTTAATGTTTCCGTCAAGATTACGAACGTCTGACTGGTCACGTGACAGTGACACGAGGGTGTATCGGGCGTCGATGTCTCCAGGAGTTTGATTGGTTGGCCACGCTCCCCTGTTCTCTGTGCGCTATTACCGTTGAAATTGGTTACCATAGAATACGTTCTTGCTGACTCTGAAATTTGTTGGTTCGTTCGTTAATATCCGTTGAAAAAAAATGACATCGCAATATTTACAAAATAGTGTATTACTCTCTTCAGGATCGCGTCACAGTTAATTACAACGCAATCTGTCGTCCACGCGACTGTGTGTCAGTGGGCACGAGGCTCGTTAAAAAGAAAATCTTTTTCTCGTGTTCTCTCTCTCTCCCTCTCTCGCGTGATTGTGTCGCCGATGACTAATTACTCGACCGTGATGTATAAACGGGCGTACGCAAGGGGGCCAGGCTAGTAAATCGTTATCCTTCGGGTCCCCGTCCCTCGCCCCTTATACGTGAATAATCGCCGTGATTGTTTCTTTTCTAATCGGCGTGGCACATTTCGAAGCCTCGGGACGATCCGTCACGCACGTTACATGCTCGTTCTTCATTTTCATATCGCGCGCGACTGGGCTCTCTTGTCCGCGATAACGAGTCCTCCTTTTCTTCCAGAACGGTCGAGACGGGCGGGGTGTGGTGGCGAGCGCGTTCGTCGAGGGTCATTCGTTTTCACCCCCACCGCCTCGTGGCACACGTAAATTCATAAAGGATAACACGCTTCTCGAGACCGTTCTCGAAAGAAAATAACCGTTGTAAATTCGTGTCGGCCAGCTACCCGCCGTCGGACTCGTCACGAACGGACAAGAGACACACAGAACCCGTTGGGTGGCGCACGTAGCCTCTGGCCTACATGCGTCATGACATTTCGGTGGAGAGCAGCCTATTGAAACAAAAACGAATATGTACAGCTTAAAATATTCGTGTTGCTCCATGACAACGCGAACACGTTACGTTCGCCATATATTTTAAATACGTACCTCCCGCTTGATACCGAGTTGATGCGCCGCCAAGTATTTCCATCAACCTATATTTACCGTATATATGTATATTATATTCATAATTAATAAGGGAGAAAGCACGGCAAGGGCCACTCGATCGTGAAAACGTTGGTCCTAGCGAATCAGATCGAATGGCCCTGGAAAATTATTCGATAACACGGTGTATATCGCTGTTGGGATCGACGTAATAATGTCGACTAACGGTTGACATTATTACGTCTCTTCCGTCCCCCGTCTGTGGAACAGAGAGCTCGAGTCGTGTGTCAGGGTATATCGAAGAAATTTACGAGCATAAGGGGATTATCGTTTATCGGCGCGAATATTTTTCGTCCTCTCAGTCGGTCGTTCGGTGCTGCAATTAATCTCTGCGCGGGACCGGGCATGCAACGTTGTTTTCGTTGGCCTGAAAGCGATAAGAACATGGTGAAATTTGGGACGCGGGGCGAGATATGTAGCGCGGGGGGTAGGAGGGTGGAGAGTGTGTAACGGTCTCGGAAATAAATGTCCGGGCCGATAACATTTTAAAGTGAATTACCTGTCGCTGGAGCATACACGTGGTCTGAATCGCGGGCGCGGCTTGCGTCGATAAGCAATTTGTCCGCCTCAAGTGTTTCCCCTGACTAATGAATATAAATAACGGGTTATTGGAACCGCTAGTTAGATTAAATCTATCGGTTCACGTCGCTTAAATGCACTTACTGGTGCGTTTCACAATTCCCCCGGGCCTGATACGTAATCGTCACGCAGCTCGTTATATTGTTACTTAATCACTGAAGATACTGGCGGTAGGTTCTTACGGAAAGGAAATCACATTTTTGCGGTGCTGTACGTTGTGTTCTACAAAAATATGTATCCAGACGTTAACGAATCTTTTGGCTACTTATGTCCCAACGGAGCATTAAGTCCTAGTTCGATAAAGGTGCACAGAAACACGGGGAACCATAATTCAAACAGAGAATGCACGTCAATACTTATCAAGACACTCCACGCGATCCTAACCTCAACAGCAATGTCCTGACTGTCCTACCTTCCGCAGCACCAGGTTTCCCGCCAAAATCTCTCGCAGAATTAAAACCTAGAAACGATAAATCGTCTATTCACCTGTTTTCTGTAACAGTTATCACAAAACAAGCGAATCTGTGTTTCCCATTCGCGACAAAGTCTGCGGGCTCGGTTCGTTTATTGTTGCGTCTCGATGAATATGAATAGCTGATCGGGGGGCATTCGAAACGAAACGAATATTTGGGGGCAGGTCGATCGTTTCGCGAAAAATTAGAACTACGATCATGTTTTCGGTGCGTACCACAAGAGGGAGAAAGAGAAAGAGAGGGAGGCCGATCCAGCAGCCCACGGTAACTGGATGACGTGTGGTGGTGGTGACGATCGACGATATGTAAATCACTGCGGCATCCCGTCCACTGTGTATGGTACTCATTGCATTTTATCCCCCCGCGGCACGCTTGTCGCAGAACGGTTCGCAGGACGACCACCCCTTACCGTTACAACCCCCCTTTTCGCGACGGCACGCTCGCCCGTCACGCACCCCCTGTGTGTAATATATGTCAATTACGATTTCAAATCCTTGCATGCATAAGCAGCAGAACATGCCGCGCGCCACGGCTGCCTGCCGGCACTGTTTCGAGAAATGAAATACAATCTGTTTGGAGTTGGGTAACCGGTACCCGTGCGACGGCCATGTTGGATAACCTCTGTGTGTTGACGTGCGTGATGAGTGAGGGGGCAGATTCACAAGTGGAGTGGCCCGATCGTGTTCTGTTGAGAGACAACTTGATTTTGAATTGTGGATCCATTGAGATTGGCCATATTTACTTGTACATCGAAGACATATTCCCCTGTGCTGTTAATCCTGGAACGACATAATGGTATACATTGATGGAAGGTATTTACAATGTTTAAGGTTAGTGGATGCGGGAGGATTTTACCTGGAAGGTTAGGTCTAGTGGTCAACGAAGTATGTAATTCTACGAGACTGGTATCTTGTTTGAAATGTCCTTCTGATTTAGTTTCCCTTTCAGGCCAATTCTGGTAAATGTCGGAAGCGTCGAGGATTCTAGCTGAGCCGGATATATCTACAAAAGAGACTTCTGTTTATGGGCCGTTGTAGCTCACAGTATCGTTATCGAAACCAGTATACTCCAGTGTACGAATCTTCTAGAACTCGTACCAATTGAAATTCTCTCACAGACTGCGTACATGTATTTCGAGGTTCGTCGACGGCGGTAAGGTACAATAACTTCCATAGCAAGTTTCTCAAATAATTCTTATATTACAATGAGAAATCAGGCTCACGTGGACGACTTAGGGAATAGATCGCCGGATAACAGGGGAGGGGGGAGGGGAAAGAAAAAAGTGTTTCGTGTTAATCTTCAGTTTGGTCGAATTAACCCTTAGCGATCCCAGTGCAAACAGCTTATCGGCGTATATCCACCGACCAATTACCGTGCCGCGAGCGTGCACCGAATAGCATGTAGAAATTGTACCGATTACTTCCCCCTTCCCCTTTTCTATCATAACTTCAATTACATTTCACTGAGAGTCTGTTCTCGCCCCGTCGTTAGACGAATTTCGGTTTGTTTCTCGATGTCTGGTTCATCTATCCTGTCTCGATTCGTGCTCAGATCTGTTTTAAGGGTATAACAAAAAACGCAACGACCTAAAAGTTCAATTAGCTCTCGTTTCGCGGTTAAAACGATTAATGACCGACAATTAGTCGAGAGTACAATCGAATCGCGTACTGCTACAAATGATAATTCATGGTCGACGACCCGTCACGTCAAAGGTTAAGGGTTAAAGTACAGCGACGCGACCTTTCGGCGGTCAACAAGTATATTCACCCTTACTTCGTGGATTAGAGCTCTCCCATTCATTCAAAGGAATTCTTATCTTCGTCGTAGCGCATTTCTAGTGTCCGCCAGAAAGTACCGTTTTCGTTACTCTTGACCAGATCCGAGAGAATAAATTCTTACATAATTAATATCACAGGTGTCCCTCTCCATATATTAAAAAAAATAATAACTCCTTCCAGGGCTGTTCACTGTTCGCTCTATTTTGCCTACGATCAGGCCACGAGGAAACAACGGCAACTGGAGGTCGCGCTGTTGATCGATGATGCATAGTTAAGTGCAGCTCGAGACGCCCCAAAAAAAAGAAAGATTAACTTCATTTTCCAATGGAACGTGTAAAATCTACATACACCCACTGAGTGCAATTTTGGTAATAATTATATAAAGGGCCAAGTTAGAGACATTCTCGTTCGTTGGAAACGAATAATTTTCGGTACGATTCGAAGCAATTCCAAATGGGAACAGTTTGGGTCCGTTTGTGACCCCTGAATAACATTGCCAAAGGGGAAGAACCAACGAGAGGGGTGCACGACCGCGTAAATGCGTGGTAAAAGGTTAAGGGTTGTAGCACCCATGGTGAACCCCAGGCCCGTGGGAGGGCGTGCCCACACCAGCGGGCTGGTACTTTCGTTTCACCTATCCAATTCGATCCGCGCGTCGCATACCATCGGCGGCCGGAAGATTGTTGCACCGTGACCTTGGCCTTGCACATCGAGGATATCCATTGGCCAGCGCGCGTACGCGCGACTGCGGATCGTAATTTACGTGGGCTGTCCACGTGAATTACGATACGAACGGTTCTGAACTCTGTGAATGGAGTCTCGGTGTCTTCCGTCGTCCGTTTCTTTTGTTCCTTTTTTTTTTCTTTTCGTATCTCGGCCATTGGAAGCATTTTCACGAGTCGTTTCTACGTTGGAAGCATTTCCACGTTCAGCGACGTCCGCTGAAGGTGGAAGTAATTTTATCAGAACAGAAAGAGGATGTGGTTGTATCATGCTGCGAAAAGAGATTTTATACATTTTAGCGTTGAAACCTTGTACGATTATCGCGTTGAGAACGGGCTTAAACTTTTTGTCTCCATTTGACACACGCGTAGTGGCTGCACCTCATGGCGATCTTGTTGCTAGTCCCAAGAATAGTATTTTTTCTGAAACGAAACAGTCAAGTTTGAAGTAGAGGTTGATGGATGTATTCATTCGTTAATTTTTTTTTCAAGAAAGTAACTTTTCGTCAATCACGGGGGCAAGTTATAAATAACTCGACCTAATGGTTCAACACAGTTTAAGGGGGCTACATCTGATAGCCGCAACAGTATTCTCAGGTTAATTGTCGCTCGTTTTTTTTTATGGTACACAATATCTGAGCGAAATCTATGAGGTTTGTAGACCGCTACCGGGTTTAGTGAACAACGGCACGCAATTATCCGTGAACTACTCCCCCCGAACCCCTTAATTTTGGTACATATATAAGCCCACCCTTCCTCCCCCCATGCCATGATTATGACAAAAATCGTCGATTTGATCTGCGGCCGTCGGTGCTCAGGAATTACATCAGGAACTTGTTAATAAGCGATCGCGATAATATTTTTTATAGAAGCTGTCGTAGATCACTGATACGGACAGAGAACTCTCTCGACTCGCGGCTTTGCTGAAATTGAAATTGTACGGCTGGAAAACGAGAAATTGGCGAGAGAGATTTAAAGATTTCAGGTACATTGAAATAAAATGTAGATACTAGAATTGATAAAACAGAAGCGACAAAAAATTAGAAATTGTCGTGCAGAGGAGAAAGAACATATTTCGCTGATCGTTAACTTCTAAATCGTAATTGAAACAATGTCGCAGCATACTCGGCTGTTACTCGATATTAACATTTTTTTTTCCCCGCCAGCAAAGTGTTAATTTTCTTCAGGAAAGCATGCGCCTCATCGGATGACTCAGGGAACAATTCCGTTTGTCGAAGTAACATTCGCGCGCAACCCCCTTTTCCTGTGGAACGCAAAACGGAGGCGAAAGTCCTTCCCGGATAGTTGCACCCGTGGAGACAATAACTGGGAACCGAAGGTATTCGAACGTTATCGCGTCGTTTCGTTCGCGAAAGAGGAACGGAGCTATACATTAAAAGAAAAGTATAATATACATATATATTTATGTATACAGTAAAATTAATTTTATATACCGAATCTTGAATACAAACTCGAGTATCTTTTAGTGGTTTAACAATATCCTTTCTAAATAAGATCTTTTCTAAGATCTCTTTAATAAGATTCTAATAAGATCCTTTCTAATAAATATATATTTTTTAAGTTTGTAACGAAGAAGGTGCCATTATTAGTGTATTTTCAATTTTGTTCTTGACCAAAATTCAAATGAGTGGTACTTCGAAATGTTCATAAATAATTTCATCACCCACTGCATCTTTTCTTTTTTCCACGGGTTAAGACGTTCCGTTTTCCAACGGTCGTGCCTCAAGTCCATTAAGAGTCCTGTAACAGCATGGTCACGTCAGATTATGTATATTGTCATGAGTACCTATTAGGTCTTGCCAAGCCCTTTGTTTTCTGCAGCGTAGATGGTCTAGGAAATGGCCATTTAGTTTATTTTCGGTGACACGTTCGTCACGGTTTCCACTAACTCGCGGATATCTGTTGGAAGAACGAGGACGAGAAATACAAGTCTTGAAAAATGAGAAACAATGTGGAAATACGGGGTCAGTATTGTAATCATCGTTTCTCTGTTGAGTATGCAGTGATTGAATAGATATGCTAATTTAAGAAGTGTTCTAGACTCGATGATTCATTTCCTTTTAATGATTGGAAATAATCGATGAATGTGAAACTGGAATCTATACGTAGAGATTTCGTCGACGAAAGAGTCGATACGCGATTAATTGGTATGGTTCCAGTGTGAAGAAAACAACGACGACCTCACCCAAGGGTTAAGCTTGCGTCACAAAAGGATAGGCTGCCGGAAGAGTTGCGAGAGGGGTGGGTGGTCCGACCTTCACCCTGTGTTAATCTATGCTTCCATTATCATACCAATCCCATCAAAGCTGGCATAGCTTTGCGACTGCACGACGACGAATCCGGTTATTGGTCGAGTCTGACCATTTTTCAATGAAAGAATCGATTCTCGTTAAAAAATCACGCCTGAAAAAATCGGTTCGTTATCGGAGAAAAAAAATAAAAGGGGCGTGTGCGAATAATTATGATTATTTAAATGAAAGAATAGTAAGTAATTTAGCCACTTTTATTTATTAATATTATTATTATGTAAGAATCTACTTACTTTCTAAAGTTATAGAGATTTTATAGAAAATTCTGTAACCATTGATCAATTGGGGACGGGATCGAAAGTATCGAAGCGCATTGCTTTTGGTGAACGTGCGTGTCTCGTGGCCGTGAGTCCCTTTATTAGACCATTAGCCTCGTTAACTCTTTCGCCCTCCCCCTTTACCGACTCGCTTTGAATATCGATCCCTATTTAACCAATTAGGGTAATTGGTCCGACGCGATGCCACTTTCCGCGAAGAGATCAGATTTTTACTGCTACACCCAACAAAATATGGGCGTGGAACATCCTTGATTCGAAAGGAACGCTTAACCGGAACACCCCTTAACGAGACCCTACATTATGCCAGGGTGGTGTCTGTCGGCCCCCACCGTTTATCAAAGATTTCCACCTGTCCGTCACGATTTCTCCCTAACGACACTGAAACACCCGTTAAAAGTACACACCAACCCCGTGCACTCGTGTCCGATCAATCTCGACGAGAAAATTCGGCAAAGCAACCCACGTAACTACAGTAATTCCTCGACGAGTGTTCGATGTCTCCTCGGCACACAAACAAGGAGAGGTCCTCAGGTGTAACACTGACATATTTAATAAAACTCAGCCCAGTGACCATTAGTTTATCAAATATTTAGCCTTCGAACACTCGTGGAGGATTTACTGTACACGAAAATAATCGAAGAAAAACATGATTCATTAGAACCGATATACATAAGATCTCATGCTAGTCAAAGTGGACCGCGAAATTTACCAACGCCCTAAGTAACAATCAACCAAGGGACGATTTTAGAACTACCCCCAAAAGTTTTCGGTCGGACGAATCGTGTAACCCTCTTGAATATTTACAAATATCCCACGCAGGGGTCAAGTCTGAAAATAGTAAAATATCCCAGTAGAACCCTGTCATTTGAACTAAATTTAACCCGAAACGTCAAAGAGTCGTGGGATGTAGAGTCTCATTAACGAAATCTCGTTCTCGTGGTAAGGTCACCGTGAAAAAAGGGGGAGTGTGTTGGACGGTGGTACGATACCAGCCGCCTAATGAAACGCCTGTTTACCGCACGCGAATAGATAAAACCGTAGAACTGACCCCACAGGCGGCGCAGTGGGACGGGAAAAGTTGTGACGGTGAAATTTTCAAATTTCGGCTGAGTATCCTTTTGTGCAGATAGTAGCCAAGACCTGGCCACGGTGGGGTTAGGTGTATTTGTGTCCTTGACACACGATAGCTCTTTCTCACACACACATACACCACGAAAGCGGGGTAGCGGAGGGTAGGGGATGTTGCAGCCCCTTGGGGGGTCTCTGAGACTCCAGCCCAATGGCACACCCCGCCTCCAGTTGTCCATCGAGCACAGTCGGGGTTGCACCTAGTGGCCCCACAGCCCTCTGGCCGGGACAAACGTTTCGCCCGCGAATCTACGTTCTCTCTGATAGGGTTACCTTCTGCGATCAGTATCCAAGTGGTGTTCGAACGGCAACTGCGACGGTTACATTTTTTTTTTTTTCCAACAAATACCTACTTTATCGTTTTTACCACAAAACCATCCGCACAGAAGCGTAATTCTTGTCTTCCAGTTCGAAGGGAGTCACCTGCAAGAATACTGGAATTAAGATTTGAATATATATATATATATATGTATATATATATTTCAAAAGTTGGTCCTTGATCGATTCGAAGGATCATCGAGAGTGATATTAGACACCGTTTGGAACAAGTGACACAGGAAAATGTGAGAGATCCTGTGATTGCGTCGAGGTGTGCACGCGCGCGCGCACCCGCCCGCCCGTTTATATTGCGTGTGGGTCGGGGGAACAGTAATCGTTTCGCGTGAGGGGCCTACAGTGATTCGGGTTCACCATTGAGTCGGCAAGTTCCTCGTCCCGCTCGGACCTGGAGCCGGACTTTGCCGCCGGTTGCGAGAAGGGGGACGATTCATTCAGCGACTCCGAGCCAGAATCATCCTGCGGCGGCCCCGTGTCACGGGAGGGCTGCTGCGACAGCTTCGTCGTGTTGATGAGCGATTCGTTCGAGGTCATATCGCTGCCGGCCGATATGTTGCAGGTCCTTAACATTTCCTCCAACCATTTGACTCCCCTCTACAATTTTGTCCCAGTCGATTCTTTACGATTTTATCCTGGAAAGAAAGGTGTTCTGGTGTAGCGCTTAACACTTTCGATGTTTGTGTCGAGTATATACTCGTCATGAAGGATGACAAGTTTTTATGGATTCATTTCAATTTTCCCGCAAATGCATTTATTCTCGGTTTTCGTCGAATACAGTAAATCTTTGATGAGTGTTTGAAGGCACTGGTGAATCATTGACTTCAGAATTCCATGCTCTATCACTGTGCTAAACCTCCATAAAAAGTCAGCGTTACACCTGGGCACCTCTTGTCAGTCCGCTGAGGAGCCTTTGAACACTTATCGAGGATATACTGTGTACTCGTTGTAACTTAAAAATAATTCAACGCACAAGTGAAAGGGTTTTAACGAAATCGTATTCGTATTTTCATCCGCGACAGCCGGCCAGCTACGGAAAGAAGAGCAACACCTGGTACACCAGTCCATCCGGTGGAGGGAACAGAGGCGGAGCGGGAGTCGGCGGTAGTGTCGGTGGTTGGCAGAGCAGACCGCCAGCGGTGGCCAGCCTTAGCAGAAAAGCTTCCATCACCGACGAGGCACCACCCCCCGGGGGTGGAAAACCTTCCTCCGGACGTGTCATACGGATCGTCAACAACCACGATCACACTGTCCAGGTATTAATCGAAAGAGCGTATAATCGATGAGGTACGATATTCTGTCCTCGTGAAATGAATCGTTTAGTAAGGTCGCCTATTCAAGATAGACAATCAATTCCGAATTGACATTGCATGGTCCTGAAGATGCTTACAGTTTCGGGCAGGTACCTTTCAGACTTAATGATTTTGGACACAATATCGTGCCCGATCGACATTACAGAAAATGAATGGATCCTTTATAAGGGAATAGTAATTTCTTTGAATTCTCACGAATTGTTTCGAGGAAGTTAGTAAGATTTTCTGGCGATATATTCATATAGTGCCGTGTCCTGCTGACCCTCCGCACGTCACAGCCGTTCGAGGAGGTATTGGAGGACCTTGGACAGGTGCTGAAGATGAACGGAGCCAAGAGGATGTTCACAGTGTCCGGTCAGGAGGTAAACGGAATTTTCGATTCTGTTCTACCAGTGATTCTAACCCCGTACAAGTACCCCAGCGGTTATAAACGAGAACCAGTTGTCCCGAAATTCGTCAAAAGACGGTGACGTCGCGATGGTATTATGATCGATAACGTACTCTGTTCGTTGGAGCGAGTCGAAACGTGGGCGACTCGAAAGTTTATCAGCGATTTATGCAAATCGACGGACATCGGCTCCGGCCGTCGTACTTATAAAATCTGCTTGAATAATGTTTGTCCATAAATATGCATGGGCCCCCGGGCGGCGAGGGAGGGGGGGGGGGAGCAACCGAAGCGTCGAAACGAAGCGTGACGATATCGGGGTCGACTTCTTGGCTCTAAATGGAATCGGGTCGCCGCTTAAATCTCCCATGAATCGTCGTGGATTATCGTCATCTACCCTTCCATTCCTGTGGGGGAAGAATTCTTAAAATGAAACAGAAAACATTTCTATCGAAAAATTCAACACACACAAAGACTCGGCACGCGAAAGAAGATTAAGATAATAAGGCTTTAGTCAGAAGTAGATTTCAGCCAGCATGGTGTTCCTCTGTTGAATTCCGACTCGCAGAATCGAGTGCAACATTTTTAAAAAAATCTTGATGAGGTTTATTCCATTTACACATAACTAATAGAGTGTCGTAAGAGTCTAATTGTAAACTAAATGTTTCGGAGTTAGTTTGAATTAGATCTGACGGTTTATAAAATTACACAGGGTCTTATATACTATCGCTGTGTGGTAGGGAAAAGATGCTCATGAACCTTAGGACGGGATGAGTAAGTAGGAATTCAGACCTTGGGAAAAATAAGGGTGACTATGTTTAGGACAGAGCAACATGGTCGCAGATTGAATCAACGTCAATAGGTACCTAGGTTGGACATTCAACACGTCCATCTTCTTTTCTTATTCGGCCTATTACTTTCCGCGGGTGAACGTAACCCAGCCGCTGCCGTCCGTTGATTGAAATTCCTTACGTCACAGAACCGATTGCACGATTATACAGTACGGTGTCAGGGGGGGGGGGTTAGCCTCTCTGGGCAAGTGGGTCGGAGGCCCCCTCCCCGTGAAAAAGGTCAGAGATCCATCTTTTCAGGTCACGACCGTATATGAATTTCAAATTGGGCAATTTTCTTTTGTCGAGCATTTGGCTGCCCTGTACATCATCGTGCACGCCCCGGTATCCCCGACGTCAACGATGTGTGTGTGTGTGTGTGACGTACGCGATACGATCCCCCATCGCATGAAGAAATGTCTTGGTTCATTCATTTTAACGTCGGTGCCCCCACCCCCCCCCCTCACACCATATCCTTCCAGAGTATGTTTCTTGAGTAGTACCATTTGTCATACTCTTGATTACATCTGCAGTATCGGAAGGAATGCCTTTTGGTACCTGAGTACATTACAAATTCACGGATTAAAAAAGCCTAAAAGAAACTTCTTTTTTCGTGCATTCTAATTCAAGGTGTTTAAACCTATATGAAATATTTCCGTGATTAACATTAGCGTGCAAAAACATCACCGTCTATGGGTACATATAAGTAAAGACTTTTATTATATAAGAGTTTTAATTATATAGAGAAATTTTACTTTAAACAGCAAAAAAAGAAATACCATTGGAAGGGTTAATTAAGATCGTAATCTTTATACTTTCTCTTTCGTTGGTATCGCCATCAGGTGAGGAGTTTCTCGCAGCTGAGGAACGAGTTCGCGGACGTGGACACATTTTACCTGGGCACCGGCACCGGTATAGGAATCGTCGGCGCGGTGACAGCGTCCCCAGCGAGACGATCTAGATCGAGGGGCCCGCCAACAGTGGTCGAGGACATTGGTCGTCAGAGACGTGCCCGTAGCAAGAGCAGACCCAGGGCTTTGTACGCCCCCGACTCTGACGTCGTCCGAGTAAACGGTTCTCCATTATATCATTCAATCTGTCTCTATCGCACGCCGATCGATTCGGCCCACCTAAGAAATCGAAATAACGCGTTACGTGCTGTTATGTTACACGTTCACAGATTACAGTGTAGTGGAAGTGTTGCGGGAGGAGCCAGCGAAGGTGACGATCCGTGGCCTGAGACGTTCGTTTTATCCGCCCTCTCATCTGCCCCCGGTGGACAACTCGCCGCCGGACAAGAAGTTGCAACTCGAATGGGTTTTCGGGTATCGGGGCACCGATACACGACGAAATCTCTGGGTTCTGCCCAGCGGCGAGCTTCTCTATTACGTCGCTGCCGTGGCTGTTCTCTTCGACCGAGAGGAAAATGCACAACGGCACTACGTGGGCCACACGGAGGACATTACGTGCATGGAGGTGCAGTATTTAATAGGGACCCAGGAAAAAACAGGGGAACCAGTCAGTACCCTAACCCACGTTGTATTAGTAACTAAACTGCGGAAGGTTATGGAAAATTTTAGTCACCGATATCGGAAAATTAAAATAGAGCGTAATTTTGAATTCTGTACCAGAAGTTTTAACTATATATGTATACATACACTCACGGTGGCCAAACTACGGCTTGTGAGCCGCACACAGCTCTTTTAGACTCATATTAAGATCCCATATACTTAAGAGAATGTTCCCTTGAACACTTTTTGTAAAGTCGATACCTCGAACGAGTTCATCGTGTGTAACATCCTGGTACAGTGCACTGTCTTTCTGCCATTCTTGTCTACCAGACCCGCAACCGTGTCCTAGTGAGAATTAACGATCGAAATTAACGTTATAAACATGTCGCACCGCAGGTTCACCCAAGCAGGGAGCTGGTCGCGTCGGGGCAAAAAGCCGGGAGACACAGGAAAGCACAGCCACACGTTCGCATATGGTCGACAGAGACCCTCCTCACCCTTTACGTGTTCGGGATGACTGAGTTCCAGATGGGCGTCTCGGCGTTGGCGTTCTCGCAGCTGGTATGTGTATCCGAGTTGTAGAGTCCGTTTGCACGCGATGTCTAAACAATAAAAAAAAAAAAAAATCGTCAAATAAAAGAATACCTTTGATCGTTTGGTGTATTCTTCTTTCCGTAGAATGGGGGCAGTTATGTGTTGGCGGTCGACGCTGGCAGGGAGGCGATACTCTCGGTGTGGCAGTGGCAATGGGGTCATTTGTTGGGCAAAGTGGCGGTAAGTTAATTTCACGTGAACCTGTCTTTTCGCTTTGCACTGTCGGAATAATCTTAAATACGCAAAATTTTCCTGCTTTACAGACCATGCAGGAAGATTTGACCGGGGCGGCGTTTCATCCCCTCGACGATAATCTACTGATCACGCACGGTCGGGGACACTTGACGTTCTGGAATCGACGGAAGGATGGTTTCTTCGAGAGGACGGACATTATTAAACCGGTAAGAAAGAGAAAGACAGAGAGAGATTCATAATTCCTCATTAAAAAATCGGTAATAAAAAGTACGCGTGTCTCGTTTACCGAAAGTATACCGATTTTTTGTTCAAAAGCCATCTCGCACCCACGTGACGAGCATACAGTTCGAGCAAGACGGGGATGTCGTGACAGCGGACAGCGACGGTTTTATCACGGTCTATTCCGTGGATGCCGATGGCGCTTACTTCGTTCGAATGGAGTTCGAGGCGCACAACAAAGGCATTAGCTCCCTGGTCATGTTGTCGGAAGGCACATTGCTCTCGGGGGGTGAGAAAGACCGAAAAATCGCCGCATGGGACTCTCTGCAAAATTACAAACGTATCACCGACACGAAGGTATATACACATACAATCGTGGTGTATTCGGTGGAATGTTATTCTCAGCCACACGTTTCATTGGACCCGTTTTCGTTTTTTTTTGTCAGCTCCCGGAAGCAGTAGGGGGTGTACGTAGTATCTATCCCCAGCGACCGGGAAGAAACGACGGTAACATATATGTGGGCACCACGAGGAACAATATTTTGGAAGGATCACTTCAGAGAAGATTCAATCAGGTGGTCTTTGGCCACGGTAGACAGTTATGGGGACTCGCGGTGCATCCTGACGATGAGGTGTTCGCCACCGCGGGTCACGATAAGAATATCGCTCTGTGGCGGAGACATAAACTTTTATGGACGACGCAGGTGATTTTCACTTATACTAACAGTGATCGGTTATATTGTTTATCGTACGAAAGAAAAATCGGAAATATTATCGAATGTCCCAGGTCGGTTTCGAATGCATCTGCATAGCATTCCATCCATTCGGTGTGGCGCTTGCCGCCGGATCCTCGGAGGGTCATCTTCTGGTCCTGGCAGCGGACACTGGAACAGCTGTGGCTACTCTCAGAGTCTGTGGATCACCTTTATCCTGCATCGGCTACAACCCAAGTGAGTCGCGAATTGAACAGGCATTGTTGATACTTTAAATCGAACAACTGGACAAATCGAGAGTACCTCAATGATGTTTCCGTTGAACAGCCGGCGAGATCATAGCAATGGGGTCTCAGAACGGGAGCGTGTATCTCTTCAGAGTGTCCAGAGACGGATTCTCGTACAAGAAGAGCAACAAGATCCGCGGAACGCAGCCGTTGGTTCAGCTGGACTGGAGCTCGGACAGCAGGTTCCTTCAGACTGTCACGCAGGACTACGACTTGGTGTTCTGTAATATCGTTAACATTATATAGTAAAAATCTCTAAGTATACCGCCACGAAAGCGATGACAATCACTCGTGAAATATTTATTCACAGGGGACGTAAAGGCCTTGTCCTCGGAAAAGAGTCCACTGGTCATGAAAGACGTCAAATGGTACACTCACAATTGCATGGTCGGTTACATGGTGTCCGGTAAGTCTGCGCATAGTATACAATCTACAGGAACACACTCTTCTGCCGACGGATCTGTGAAATTAGTTAAGTAAATGTGCTTCCATCGCAGGAATGTGGAACAACCGTTACTATCCACTGACGACGGTGTTGACCACGTCGAGTAGATCGGCTGCCCATGACATGCTAGTCAGTGGCGACGCCGAAGGGTACCTGAGGCTTTTCAGGTACCCGTGCACCAGCGCCAAGGCGGAGTACGTTGAGGAGAAAGTGTACAGCTCGCTGGTGGCGTGCGCCAGGTTTCTTTACAACGATCAGAATGTCGTCACCGTCGGTGGAACCGACGCCGCGCTGATGCTTTGGGAACTGGTCGACGAATAAAATGTCTCGTAACCACGCGAGACCTGTTGGAGGTCCCGAGATCAGGCGCCTATCGATCGTGGATCGATCCTACGATAATCCGCGATAACGACTTCTTTTTTGAAATATCGACAATTACTAAATGTTTATCTTATCTTCGTGCAGGATTCGCGGCGATTCTCGAAGAATCCATCTTGACAGGCGTTGCTGACGAGCTTCTTGACAATTACACGACTAATTGTCATCGTGGTTTGGTAATCAGATTGTACTTAATACGGGCGCCGTTCAGCGCTTGTTGTATACCGTATTATTCTCGGAGAGACGATTATCAATGTTTTTGATACGATTTCGTGCGGGAACCACGCGATTATCGTTGCCTCCCTCCCTACGTAGCCGCGAGGTCCGATACTTATCGAACGAGTTGTAATTACCGTTTTGACGAAGGGAAGATAAGATCTGCTAAACGAAGTGTCGTTTAAACGATCGATTTCATCTTGCGACGGAACTTTCACTTTTTCATGGCGAAATATCGATGTGTTCGGTGCACAATAATTGTACTGTCACCATTTGTCCGACTATTCTTCGGGGTCTTCAGAAGATATATTTATTTTCTAAATCGTTAGAAGAACGTGAGAAGAAGCGGTATTGTTCAGAGAAACGGGTCCCACCGCGGCCAGTCCCCTCCTATACATTCTATAAAATGGGAGTACACGCATAGGCGAGCACCGAGTGCGAAAGTCTTTGAGCTCGTTGTTGGACAACGACTGTGGACACACAGATCTCTTCCATATACGAAATTCAAGTTTTCACATTGAAACGATAATCGAACAGAATTTTTTCTATTTAGTGAAAATATCGTAGACGTTGTTTCGGCTAAACGGACGATCGAACGTGAACGTAATCGTCGAGGAAAGCACATTCGCTAATTAAACTCGACCATCGACATTAAAAGTAGGAAACTAAAAACAAACAAAAAAAAAGAGTATATAAGTAGACAATATTGACAAGATATTGTAGACACCATTTGTGAGCTAAGAGACGATCTAGAGCTAACGTGTAATCATCGATACAATAATTACCGGACTCGCGATGTATACGCAACGTCATTCGGAGCCTAGGTAGGCTCGATCGCTGACAAAAATAAACCGAGGAACGGGAAGATCTATCTTCCCTTCTTGTTCCGTTGCGGTGAGCATGCACGACGATAACGGCGTGACGATAACGTTATCGCGAGAACGCGCAACGTATTGCGGTACCATATTTAAAAGATCGCGCGAATGAAAACAATACGAAGTAGCGATATACACACACGCATTTACAAGGCGTCGTCTAGAGACAATTTAAACGAAAAAAACGTGCACGTTCCTCAGGAGCGTGCGCCCGAATGGGGCGCTGGCGCCCTTTTGTAGCTGTTAAGATGACGAACCCCCATAATAGTTGTATCCCCCCCCGTAAACGAACGGGGACTTGATTTAAATAAGGAAACGAACAAACAAAAAAAGATATAGAAAAGATACCAAGCACCTTTGTTTGGGCACGACGCTGTTCGGACACTTGTTTACTCTTCATTGTTTTGAAGATTTTCTGAGCGAATTGCTGCTGTTGCGGGTCAACGAGCGCTTCTCCGTCGGTCCTGTCCCCCCCCCTCCATTTGTTCACCGTTTTCTAGACGGAGAACAGAGAAAACGGATGAAATTTACATTAGAGAGTATAACACAGAGAGTTTAAGCCGACATGTTAATTAATAAAGTGAAATAAATTATATAGTGACGTAGGACACCAGAGTGGACACGTGAGTTTTCTGTCATGGTTAGTCGCGGTAGACCGTAAGCACGGGATCGTCACTGCCAACGCATCGAATTACGGAAATTCGTTTTTAACACACTCACAGACACACACACAGGGACCGTGTTTTACGGAGACTTTGAACCGAGGAGAGAATTTTCTCCACACTTCTCATGCGCAGAGTTGGGCAGAATATTATTGGAATAATTCATAATTAAAAGCAGCAATATTTAAGATCATCGTCCTGACTTTCAAACAGTTAATCAAATTAAATAATCGTCTGCCGAGTGTCTACTCGTTCAGAAACATATATTATTGTACCATAAAAATTGGAACTTCCACATTTAATCAATTTAAATGACTAAATACGCTTTTTTATCTTTTATTCGTTATTCGAAACTCTTTGTCCAGATGATGAATTTGCCCATCTCTGCTCGCGCGCGACAGATCCCAAAATTGAACCCCCGTTCCGCAACCGTTGCCATTTTTTGAATTTTCACAGCTTCTACTTCCATTAACGAGAAAGGTACACAATGTCTTAAATAATTGCGTGTACTTTTAGTGGGGGGGAGGGGATCGAGCAACGGAACGGGTGTGAAAATTTTTCTGCGCACAGAGACGATCTAATCGTCGACGATCCATGAAATTCAATTTACCATTTTGCTCTCACTACAGTTCAAACTGCGAGCCAGCACTTTTGTCGGCACCGCACGTATTGCTGGAACATTCTTCTTCTTTTTTTTTACAAAAAACTTCTACGCCTGTAATTTTGTAACACGAAAGGCCGTCGAACCGGGCGTTCGTTCGATAAGCGATACCGGAAGCTTTCGCCGCGCTGAACTTTCTGAACAATTTATCGAATCATTCGCATCATTGATTTCCATTTAGCTTGTATACCGTGTTCAAAAATATTTGTTTTGTCTTTTTCTGTTCTGTTTGTTTTAGAGGAATTAGCGTAGAGAAAAACGTTTCGTGGTCGCTTCGTGAAAGATTCTTCGATCATTGTAGGCGTACCATACGTTTGTTGTCGATGGAAAACGGGGATTAATGTTGTACCACGTAAGTGATCGCGAGACGTCGAGTGTCGCAGGCAGGACTGAATTTTGGTCTTCGATGCGCCCTGAAAACAAAACGAAAGGGAGAATAATACAAAGAGGATTTAAACGATCCCCTCTCCCCCCTTCGTAATCTTTAGCGTAAAGACGTAACAGTGTAGAGACGCTATCTTACTACAATAAATTCTGCACATTAGATACATTACGATTTTATCTTCACCAACGGTGAGCCCTTTTCATCTACAGAAAAATTATTGAGGTCAGTTCAAAATAACGGAGAAAGAATTAAAGAGTATGTACTTAAATACTCTTCTACGGATACAACCGAGACATCAGGCTCTGAAAAGTAAAAAAGAAATAACTGAAAATTAAAACACGATGGGAATATTATGTATAAGAGAAAATGGGTCCACGTAAACAAACGAAAGACGGGGTCTGGTGACTCAAAGCGATTCTTTATTAATAATCTGATCTCTTACACTATGTGTGTTCCTGGTAAGCGTCTAAGTGGTTCATCTTAGTTTCACTCTCTCTTTCTCTCACACTCTCTCTCAAACACAACATGGAAAAAAGTGATTGCGCCCGGAGTCGATTTGCGCCGTTTTCGCGACCTATCACGTTTCCTTTCTCCTAGTTCGAACTTTTTCTTTCGATTTTTGTATTTGCTGTTTTTTCCAGGCAATCAACGCTCAAGGGATGAAATTGAAAACACGTCAGGCCGGGAATTAAACGAGCGAAACATAAAAGCCGTTGAGAACGCTGAATCGCGTATGTTACATGTATATGCAGTATTGCGAAAACGGTGCGCCATTATTTATTGCAAGTGTGTGTCGATAGGAAAACCAAGTGTAACGCGGCCGTAAAAGGTCCGTTATCGTGCGTTCTCCTCGATTGTCAGGCTGTGTGTTCTGGATTTTATTTAATCGCACCGGTTCCCGTGATTATCAGTTGATTTCGTCGTTGTCGAACGGTAACAAAGGAGGCGGTTGTTCAATACAGATTGGCCAACATATAATAATGATAATAAAAAGAAGAAAAAAAAAAAGAAAACACGAAAAACATCGTTGAACAAGAAAATTCTACAAAAGTTTTCCGTAATCGAGAAGAAACATTCTTCTCGTTAGTAGAAGCAAAGATGGCGGCTGTTGTCGTGATCGTTCCATTCCTCCTCCGTGATACACACACAGGACTAGATATAATAGACTCCTTTTCTTTCTCTGTTAAATCGATCCCCGAGGAACATTTCATTTTTTGTTTGTTGCACAATCGGGTAAAGCACACCAATGAAAAAATCTCGTTTTTCGTTATCTTTCTGTCATTTGTATCGATCACGATGCGCAACGATAGAATAATACTTTCGACAACTCTCGTCCGGGTTGTCCTTAACGAATTAGAAGATCCTGACACCCTCTTTCATTCTTTATAACCACACGCGCTCTTTCTCTCTCTCTCTCTCTCTCTCTCTGTGTATATATATATATATATATATATATATATATATATATATATATATATATATATATAAATATAAATAAATAAATAACAACTATATTAAACAATACGCTCAGGGGTCCTCTAAAATTACACAAATTTACATGTCTACAGTCTAAAGTCTCTGACCGATAAGTTCGCCTCTCTATACAATACATTCTTATTCAACGCATCCTTTCTTCCACGCGATGAAACATAAACGAAAAAGAAAATAAAAGAAGAAAACGTGTGTGTGCAACGATCGGGATGCGCGGTGTATACTATCGAACGCATTCAACCAGGCAACTTGACGGCGATCGAGTGTGATCGAGGGGACGACGTCCTCTGGCGTTTTCGGACTAATCAGACGAGGTCCTCCCCCCGTCGATCGGTAAAATTCTTACAATTCTTTTCTTTTCATTTCATTTTACGTTTTTTTTCGTTTTACGGTTACACTTTTCGATACAGAATAACTTTGTCGAAGAGAACCCGTCAATGCCAGCTGTCCCGCTTCGTTTCATTTTCTGTACAGGAAAGACGAGTATGGCAGCGACAAGACAGCGAGCACGGAGCAGTTTCTTTTTTCTTTTTTTTCTTCCTTTCCTTTTTACATCGAAAGACACGGTAAAGCCAAAAAATGTCAGTCTTTCGTCGACCAACCGGTGATCAGGAAACGTGCTCTCGAACGGTATCAGCGTGATCCGATTCAAAATACGCTCTTTAATTAGGCACGGTACTTAGAATTTGTTTCGCCCGTCGAACTGTCTTTGTGGTTCGCGTCAGGCACAGTCCTGTCGGTCGCTATCACATTCGTGCTACGTAAAAGCGATACAATTTCTATCGTGTACGGGTGTGCTGTGATTTATGTTTCGTTTTACATTCCCTGTTTTTATCTCTCTAACACGGAGCATGACGACAATGTGTCGTGCCGTTGCGACGCACACACGATGGAGCCAAATCAAATTGGTCGTTCGAGGTCGTTTGGATGTTCTCTTTACGATGCTTCCGTTCTCCGTGAACGTTGTATCTACAGCAGCCGATTGAACCCACTGGAAAGTTACCTCCTTCTCTAAAACACTTGGCTAACTCCATTGATTCCTCGTTCATGATAGAAAATACTAACTAGCAACGGCTACTGGAGAACGTATCTCCAACACACATTTGTCTCTTACTATTGGTTCTACACTTACGGCAGAAATTATTGACTGGCCAAGGTTATTGTAGGGCTATTCCCTCTCCCCTCCCCACTTACTCTTCCAGTCGGTTATAATCATCGTTGATTCTATACATACGGCAAAAATCGTACCCTTTCTCTAAACTCTATACACGTAACAGAAATTAACTGGCCGGCCAAAACCATTATAACCATCCTAATACACGATGTCCTCACCTATGTATCATAGATGCCTCGATAAGCCAATTGATTTGACTCCAACCAACAATTTCCCTGGTACTCGGGATCGATTTCAACACACACACCGACCCGAGTACACCGAGGAAACACTCGCCAAGTATTCCATGGAAACGTCTATCCGTTCACTCGGCGTAATTCGGATTTCAATCGGACAATTTACAAAAACAAAAAAAAAAAAGAAAAAGGAAAGGGACGAATCGAACAAACGGAACTGCACGGTGTCACGGCGACGGAATATTCTGGAAATCCTAGGCACGCGATCTTTCAGCGTTGTTGAGATTTTTCGAATGTTTAGAAGAAAGTTGAAAGGGTAAATAAAAAAAAAAAAGAAAAGAAAAAAAAGCAAAAAAAAGAAGATCGGCCAAGTAAATGGATAATCTAACAGCCGGAAAAACTGATAGCACCGCTCATTTTCCACACGAGTAGCGTTCCAAATGTACTAATTTACGTGTTGTCCGAGGTCACTTTGCAACGTTTCGTCTCTGTCTGGCCTTCCTCGCGAGGACTCCTTGAGCTGTTCTCCTTTTCTGTTTGCTCCACCGTCCTTGTATCTTGTTTATCCTCTGTACAATGCTTGGAATTCCTATCAACTGCCGGGCGAGCATTCGATTTGTCGTTTCCTTTTTGCTTCTTCTTCGATCTGCTTCCACTATCGTCCACAGAAACTGAGGTCTGAGACATTAGTACTTCCTTAACTTTCACAGTCCTCTCACCCTTGTTAATTAGCCTGGAATCGGACGCCGCCCTCTCCACATTTTTGGATCTTTTCGTGTCCAGCGTGCCAGCCTCGTCAGTGACCAAGTCCAAGTTTCGTTTCCGCGACGTACTCTCCGTGGACGATTCGGTTACTTTATCAGTCGCATCCTGGTTCTCCGACTCTGTTTTATCGTTCTCTGTATTGACGTCTAAGTAACACATTTTTGAGGCGTCTGGTGGTTGACTATCGTTGTTGTTGTAACCAGGTGTGTCGTCGTAACACGGTGTTGTACTGGGCGCGTAGACGTTTTCTAACTGATCGTATTGGCAAATGGACTCGTTGCTCTGTTGACTGATCTCTGACATGTTTCCCTGTTTAGTACTGTTTTTCTGGAACAGTTTCTGCTCGTACTCCCTGCGCTCCAGCTCTTCCCTCTTCTCGTTCGCTCGTTCTTGTCGCTTCGATGTAGAAACATCTGCAGTGTCTTGAGACGATCCAGGTTTGGTGTACAGCTGAATTGGCCGCTGAAATCCTTTAGACGGGTGAGGGGGAATAGAGAGTACCTCGCATTTGGAAAAACCGACCTCGGGGGATAGTAGGTATTGTGTGAAGTTGTGAGGTCGAAACTCGATACTCTGATAATTTTTGTATATCCGTTCCTGCAACACGAGCATGAATTAATACCTCTGAAGGATTAAGTAATGTGTGGCGTAGCGATATTTTAGAGATTTTACTCACTGTGAGATTCTTCTTCCTAGTATAACTGCTCCAACCTTGAGGCTCTAAGACCAGGACCCCACCTGGACGCAATTGAGCATACATTCGTTTGAAGGCTTGCTTGAGACTCGCATCTCCGAAGTTCAAGTGTATCCACTTAGTGATGGACAAGCAGAGGATAGTATCGAACTGTGGTTGTTCTGTAGACAAAAGAGCATCATCTTCTAGCACATAGTTACCCTAAAAGAAAAAGTGTTTAGATTTGTCACGTTTTATACGCTTAACGTATTCAATAAAATTGCCAATTTGATCAAATACCTGCACGAAAGTAACATTATAAGGGAAACCTTTGTGACTCTTGTGCTTTGTGAAACCTGGAATATCAACTGGTCCATAATTGATCGGCATAGACATTGGGAAGAAGTTTACATCGTGGTGATCACTGTCTTCGTTACCAGCAGGAGACTGTACACAATTGACATAGTGTTTGATATTTTTTCGAGCAATATTGATGAGTGTTCGATCAATGTCTATACCAGATACACTGTGAGCAGAGAAATCTCTTGCAACGGACAGAGTAATGTGGCCAACATTGCAACCGATGTCGAGAACGTCTTTCCCAATGAATAATTCTTTGCGTTGAGCAAATACGGTCAGTCTCGTGTCCACATCATGGTGAGAATTTCGATAACCGTAGTACCTATTGTAGTTGCCGTACTGATAACGTGCATCTTTCTCTCTGAAATTTGGCATTGTCTGCTTCTTTTTCTTATCCTGACTCGGCCGATGTTGCGGTCTAGGCTTCCATGCTCCAGGTTGAGGAATAACAGGGCTAACAATTTTGTCTTTCACATCAACTTTCCGTAAGCGTTTATCCTTTGGTTCTTCCAAACCTTTCAGACGCAATTTGTTTTTGTCTTTCTGTGGGCTTTCTGGTTTGGATTCCTTAGGCTGATGAGGTGGTGGAGAGCTTAATGGTACATGCTGTTGTTCTGTCTCCACATTCTCTGATGCAGTCTGTTCCATAGGTTCTGTAACTTCAGTTGTATCACAATCTTTATTTTTTGTTTCAGGTAGATCGCATGTATCATCCTTCCCAGAACCTGAAGATGTACGTTTTTTCTTTCTGTTTCTGCGTTTTGAACCTTTTTTCGTTGGAGAGATTAGCTGTTTCTCATATTCATCATTGTCATTGCAATTGCTCAGATTCAGAGGATCACAGATATTAGGAGGTATAATCACTTCGATAACCTCTTTTTTATGTCTGGGTGTGGGAAGGGGACTGGACTTAGGTGTAACAGCGTTCATAGCTCTATTTATTTCCTCATCTTGCATGCTATTTAAGTTCAATGGATCGCATATGTTGCCACCAAGCAAAAACTTTGTCGGGGGTATAATGGCACCCTCCTTCTTTCTACGTTTGTATGGAGGAAAGAATTTACCATTGCCAGTAAAACTTTGCAGACGCTTTCGACCAAACTTGAAATGGCGATTGTCTTCATGCTTGTGTTTCTTATGAGAAGAACTAAAGGTCTTCCTCGATTTTTCACTTTCTTTCTTGTTAATGTGACCCCCCACTTTGGTGGGGCGATCAACTTGTGCAGATGACATTTTGTGGAATCTGAGGAAGAAAGAAAGTACATCAGAAATGTAATTTTCCACCACACAAAAAATTCGTTATGCACAACAATAACGTGACAACTTCAAAAAAACGGGCATAAATAATCTGGTAAATAATCATAAATATTACAAAATGCTTGAATTATACGTACCGTACAACGCATATATACATTCTAAACGACAAGTAAATAATTAAAGAAAACGTTAACTTAAAAACAATATAGGAAACAGTTTTGTATAGGAAAAGACATTATTGTTCACTATTAAGTCGATTCATTTTACCGTATACAGAGGTCGAGATTACATTGTCGCGTAATAAAATATGGACAGACTCTCGCGATTGAGCTCATAATTTTAAACACAACAATTTTTCATTAGTATACCAATCGTTTATCCCGCGGGATCTTTACGATCACTAACGCTCGGCGTTCTACGTAAATTTATCGTTCCCGCGATCGCGCATGCGCAGAAAATAGTTTATACGTTCTGTAAACGGATGGTCGCCAATGCCCCAAGCTTTTCATCAGTATTTCTTCCCAAAACTGCCAGGCTAGGTGATCACACTTACCCTTAATCGTTTCGCGAACAGCTTCAGTCTCTCCTCGACGTACTTTTTGCTCGCATTAAGCACAAAAATATGAATTAGTAACGAGATACACGGCGCAGCCAGCTCACAACGGTCGTTGTGCGCCCATCAACGATGGCGAATAGCTGCTTCGCTTGCTTCGCTCAAACTCCATTTTCTATGTGGCCACCCGAGGGAGCCGAACGTCACTTCGGCAATTTTCGGCCGCAAAACAGAGTTTGATCGGGTCATGGCAATTTTCCGAGTGCTGTGCTAACACAAAATCATCGAAAAATTGTAAAAATCATCGTAATAGAATTGTTCAAAGTCTTGAGACCGTGATATAGAGAATTATAAAGTTTTTCAATTGAACAGTCATCAAGATGTATACAGAGTGTTAATGTGATTGGTACACCTTATGTTTCTCGTAAGCAATTCTAAATTCTAGTCGAAAGTTTTAAAATATCGTTTAGAATGCCTTGATGCGTTTATTATATGATCGTTTTGTGTCTTAAATATAATCATGTTACATCGTTTCTAAAAATAAATATTTAAGTACATTTTCTCGTGCAGTTCGTATGTTAATAGAAATGATGTGAGAAATTATTTTTAGTTAGCGACCACATTTATTAAAAGACCCATGGTAAAATTTTATTTACGGTTATTATTTTTACTTCAAACGTTATAATGACTTTATTGTAATTATTATCCTTAAATGTGTATAAACAAGATCGATTATTTATAACATACAGTTTATGAATTCGCAACGGTTTCAATCATTACGTTTTTGAATTATAGATAACGAATCAGATTGAAACCGCGCGCAATGTAATTTCGACCGACCAACGACAGCATTGGCGGCAATTACAACGTTTTTAAAAAGCGATGGTAACCGTTAGATTGAATTTCGTATTATGTACGAAGTGATAATTTCACTGCGTGTGAATAAATTAATAATGTTCAGTATTCGTGTAAATAACGGAATTTCTTTGTGACTTTTTAAATTAACACAGTTTATACGTTTATCATTTGTTATGAGATCCAAATTTTCATTGGTCCCTGTTGCTTTGCAACAGACGCCATGCGCGAAGGTGTGAAGACCCCGTTACAAACGCGGCGGGTTTCTTGTCAACTCGTATATAATTTTATTCTGCGCGCGGTTGTGATTTTTTTTTCGTCACAAAATTACGTTATTCTAGCTCTGATAAAGTCTCCGTTGCATCTTTTTTTCTGCAGTGTTAACTTCTTATCGTACTAGAAGAATTATCGTTATCCTTCAACATTTTTTCATAAACATTAAACCAAATTTTAACTTTGACAAATTCAATACGGAAATAATATGCAGAATAAAAAGTTCCTGTTCGAACGACCGGATTCGTATCGACAAACGCCTACGATGTTGTTTAAAAAATCGGAATTCGGCCAAGTTGATGTTTCCAACATATCGATGAATTTGTTGCCTCAGGTATTTTATGGAGTAAAAGAATTTTGACACTTTATGTAATTTTATATTAATTTATTTATACACTGAAAAGTGCTCATTTATTCATTCATTTCAGTTTAATTTGTTCCATAAACGTCAGTTCGACGAAAGCACAACTGACTCGTCGTTTTTCACAACGCCACCGATGGAAAAAAAATCCGTCGTAACGCCGAAAGCGCCAATAAAAAACAAAAAACAGACCAAGAGGGTGGACCTTAAACCAAAGAAGTTGCAATACACGGATGAAGACCAGGACAGCGGCATACACATTGTATCCGATCACTCGAGCGACACGTTATTTCGTAAAAGATACACACTTAGGTGTAACAGATTCGATTCCACACAGAAAGAGATTCCGAGATTACGCACAAAGTTAGACAAAATTAAAGTACAATCGAATGATAAAGAGAACGATAAAACCGTCATAGGAAGTAGATGTGAAAACCTACCAAACACTAGAAATAATGTATCACAAGTATCATCTGTAGGTAGGTGCACAAAGAATGACAAAAAATGCACACACATGTCGAAAAATACACACACCAATGTCACAGACAAATTGACCCATTTTCGTCTATAACAGTGTATGGTTAGCTGTTAATTTAATTATAGAAATATGTTACCCTTAAGGAAAAGATTGTAATAAGATTGTATGGTATAATACTATGGTCTAAACAGATAGATTTGTAACAAGTAAAATTTGAACATACTTAGGATATGTTAAATGTTTCACTGTAGCTTTAGTATGTAACAAAAATGGAATTTTCTTTGTTCTTTAGTATTTGATCCAAATACTGAGGTAATATCTCAATGCAACAGTAATCTTGATTGGAAACAAACACTGCATTGGCTACAGAGTAGAAGAGATGTTGGTCTTTGGATTGAGTGCTGTAGACGTACATGCAAGAAACTTAGATATGTTCAAGACGTTCATGATCCAACAGAAGTACCAAAAATATGGTACTGCGAGATGAATTCTGGTCTGCAGACATTTTTATAAACTTCTTCCAATTCTGTTTATATATGTTTTCTTAATAGTTTAATATTAGTACGTGATTTCACAGATAAGTCAATAGCATCTTGCAATATACCAGAACAACCTAGAACACCAGTCATTGATGCTGATTTGATTGAAAATTCGTACAATGCCGGTAGTATTGTATGGGCTCATGTACAGGGTTTTCCATGGTGGCCTGGAATAGTTAATGATTGCCCTGAAACATTCAGATACTATGAACTACCTAAAAGATCTCACAGGCCCGTAAGTTAAACCTCTTTTCTGACACATTTTTTTTGTGAACACAACAATGAAAATAGTAACTTTACATACAATTTTTAGGTGAGGTACTATGTCACATTTTTTTCTGATGATAAACTGGAATCTGCATGGTTACACAAACGATATATTAAACCATTTGCACAGATAAAATACAGCACACTTATTCAGAAGGTATTTAATTGTTAGTATTAGTGTATACACCATAAATAAGATTAATTCTTATTGCAGACAAAATTTGATGGGACTGAGTATAAAAGCTTACTGGATAAAGCATACGAATTGGCTTTAAGTGCCCTACCATTATCGATCTTAGAAAGACTACAAAAATTTAGTTACGTAGCATTGTATAAAAAATTGATTGATGTTAACAACATAAACGAATCAGTTAACATCGACGAAATAGCAATGGATACGAATTCGGACGACGAAATACCTCCCTCAAACCCCACAAAAGATTCTCTTACATTAAAAGAGTATTATTTGACAGTATTGCGTAAAAGATAAGATACTCGAGTACTTCTGTAAATTAACTGTTCAAGCAATTTATGATTTTCTAAATAGAATACCTTGACCTATGTAAGTGCAAATACTCGGCTGCCACAAATATGTACAGCGGAAGAAGACATTTTACGCTTCTTGTTTACCATCAGAATCTACTTTACCAAAAACGATAGGTAGAGTATCGATTATTTACGATCATTTACCGATTGAGTAGTGTATATATTTCATTTAGTTTCACAGTCTTTCCACATGGTGGCAGCACTAACATAATAACCGAATTACTAATTCTTCATAAATATTAAATAAGTGATATCAGTAAAAATATTGAAAAGACACTTCAGACATTTTTATTACAATTATACTCAAGCTTAAAAAAAAATACTTACATTTCTTTAGACTTTAGCTCATTCATTTATATCCATAACGAACTTCGTTAGCATTATATTTTTTATACCACCGACAAGGTACAGGAGTCCTATACCTCGTCGGTGATAATACATACATACTCGCATGCAATCCGATGCAATAGTTCTATCTAAAAAACAAAATGATAAGCAGAACATAAACTACGTTCGTTTTTTTACCGTAACAATATCATATATCCTGTACAACTTTTTCTAATGCCCTAGTACCTCTCGCCTATCTTAAGTAGCAAGGTTATCGATACGGCTTGGTTAGGTCAAACGATAAGAGTCAGGGGAGACGGTAGGTCGTTTTACAGGACAGTAAATCAAACGTATACATAGTTATTAGGTTTCTTTGTCCCCTGTCCTCCTTACATATTTCGATTTATTCCTGAACATTGTCGTTTTATTATTATTTTTTTTATGTAACAAATTTGTGTGGTTGTACTTCAATCTGTTAATTAAGACCACCTGTCAGTGCCGGTTATCGTAGTATCCCGTGCGAAAATAATCGCGACAGACTTCCCGCGGATCATCGTCGAGCAGCTGTGCATCGTAATTAAAATCGGACTGTTCGAATGGACCCCAGCAATACTGGTTAGCAACCGGCTAATATTCATGTTGACCGTTCGATCGTTTTCCAAGCGGAAATCGAGCGCACATAAATGCTTGTAAATCGACATGTTAATGCAGCGCAAAGTTCGGCGAGGTCCTTCGGGTCAGTTTGACGTCAACGGATGCAGAGACCCTCGATGTGGTGAATTGCGACAATATTTGCGTGTTTCAAGCATGCTAGTGATACATACATTCGCTGCTAATATATCAAGTTGGAACTACAGTCCTTGTTTGCCTCTGTATCTTCATAGAAACGAATTCACACAAATTGGAAGAAACCTTATAAGCCTATCCTAGGTTATGTGGGACGGTAAAAGAATATTTTATTTTTACATTCTTACAGTTATTTTCATTTCTATCTTATATTTTCAAGAATGAATGACACCGTTATTTAAAAACTTTGGTAGGTACATTTAAACGAATCCAAATGATCTGTCATATTTTTCGATGACCCATGGTCCACTCTGATCCTTTGCAGTTAACACTCCGCCCTGGCTGGCTCTAGAAAGAAAGAAAAAAGGAAAACGATAACCTCAGATACCCAAGCGGGCACATACGTGCCCGTTATCGTCCTCGTAATAGTCGGACGATCGTGTTGCTAACTGAGTACTCGGGTTATCTGTTCTGTTTGTCCTTCTTACAATTCTGTTACGTTTCCTCGCGTTTTTCCAGGCGTGTTTCATCACTGGGTACGATCATTAATTCACGACTATAATCGTCGACGATTACTGGTCGTTATAGTTTTCCTATTTTTTTTACTGATTAGGTAAACAGAATAACCTCCTATGATTAGCACGTGGATTCATAACAATAATTAGGTTATTGTCATCGCCATATCAGGTGGTAAAATAACATTTTATTTAGTATAGTTGCCTACTGGTGATTTATATCTATATAAACCGTGAATAATGTTGGACTCACAAAATGTCTATAAATGTCGCTCATTATTTTTGAAACATTGCCTAAAAATTCCTTAGATATATGTATTCCTTGTTTTACAGTTTTACCGGTCACTGAATCACTCGGTGTTTCAAGCAGTTGTCTGGATATCGTAATTATTCCCTACAAGTAACCAATCACAAGGTACAGAAACTATTTCGATGGATCTCTACAGCGGCGTGTAACCGTCGAAACAGGGGTTCGTATATGTATATATTTTTAATACGCCCTACGTAGCTGTGCCATTGCCGCGAGAAATAACTTGGGAAACGTTGAACTCGCCACGTGGTAATTCTATTTCTTTAGCGCCTTAATTGTGCCCTGGAGGCGATGTCGTGGAAAATCCGCTTTAAATAGCATAGTTCAAAATTCATATTTTCAAAGTCTCGGTATAGCTTATTTAATCACGAACCAGTACATATCAGATTCTGCTATGGAGGTTCAATCGTTATAACAATTAACTTCATTTATCCTTTTCTATTCGATTTGTGTTATTAACTCGACATTAATGTGCGCGATGTGCACGTATCATACATTACAGGATAGTTCAAAGGTGAGGAAATTTATAGGTTATGTCGAGGTATAAACGAGTCGTAATATGTGCACCAATTTGTGACATCAACCAATTGTCAACAACGAAAAGAAGGGTAATTTAAAATTTGTGGATTTCATATAGTATTATCGTTGTGGAATACTAACTTGTGGAAAAGTTATCCCCGATGTTTCGTCAGCTTTGCAGCCAGCTTCGTCGGGGCTCAGTCGGAGTGACACGCTAATGGTTTGAATAAAAAGAAAGAAAAGTGATTTAATGGTGACAATTGTATTAATTTTTTCGCAGTGTATTCCCGAAAGATTAAGCCGGAAGCGTGGTATTACATACATACATGTAGTTCAGAGGCAAAGGAACACATAGGCCACACCTAGGTAGAGACGAAGTAGCGTAATACATGCAACACACCGGGCGGAAAGGTCGAGTCGGGATATAATTCTCTATCCCCCGTCCTTTCTTTTTTGCCATCGACCCAATACACGCCGCTCCCATGTTTGTCAACGACATACGCCCCCATTGTTATATGGTTCCTATATCCTAGGCCCTGCCACGAAACGATCAAACGGTAAATGGGTCCGTGTTCGGCTTTTCAGCCCGCGAGGGGGTTCAAAGATACAGCCAGCATGCCTTTACGACCAATAAATGTCTCTTTTACGAGCCGGTCCCGCATCCAGACACGGGTAATATTCGTATATACATATTATATACACGCCGAGGAAACGCGCATTTCAATGGCCCTGGTATACGCTCATTAACGGTAATTAAAATGGCCCTCCGTTACGATGTTGTGGAACGGAAATTGATTTAAAACTGCCCATGGACGGACAAATCGGATTGTATACGTGTGCGCAAAATGTTGCCACCGTTGTCCGTTCGACAGGAATGGCATTTTGTCCGGTGAAAATTGATGGTCCTCCCCGAGCGGTATATTTTCATGTGTCCCCCGTGTTCGGGTACATTTTTACATTTTTATCGAAGCGTATTAATAATTGATACCATGCCTAAGGTCATCTCTCTAAAGACACGCATCGAAACTGTGCATACGATTTTTCGTGAAATATCAACTGTAGTACCGACACCTTAAAAATCACGTGTGATTTTAGTGACCTCTGCGTTATGAGAACGGTGAATCTACGTTATGAAAACGTAGTAAGTGAAACTAAAATGCTAATGGGGTGTCTAGCGCCCCAGAAAAGTGGTATGTACCGCAAAAATACATTGAGTGACACAGGTTTACTCCTATAACCTGATCGGTGCTGCGACGGGAGAACATTTCACTTCTGGTCGACGTGTACACCAATCCAACCGGGACCAAGGAGGATCGTCGTGGTCGATCCGACGCGCATCATGAGGATGCAGCGGAGTACAGTTCGGTTGGCTCGTTTTCAACGAACAAAACGAAAAGATCGCGTGAGCAAAGAAAAAACACGAAGGAAAAAGAAATTGGCCGTCAGGGCCAGTGACACGGGCCCGCGATCGGCATATTTCCTTGACCCACGTCATCGTTGGAACAGCCTGCTCCCCCCTGTCACTCTGCGGTGGTGGTAGGGCGAGAATTTGCGGAGTGTATTAGTAGGCCATGACGAAAATACCGGGCGGTCCGGGTAGTAATAGCGAGCATCTAGACGGCATTGACCGCGCCCGAATCCGTGCAGGTCGTTCCCCGTTCTACTACGTTTCTCGTGGTGGTCGTTAAAGTCGCATTTAGAGGGACCTCACCGGGACGCATTTCAGAGACACATTTAGGAACACGACGATGCGGTGCAACGGGACGCTTGGCTTACATTCTTTCGCATACCGAGGACTAAAAGCCAGAGGCGGGAATATATTTTATTCCCCTGGCGATGCGCGTCTTCGTTAGACCCTTGATTTTACGAAAAACGTCTGGATTAGATAATTTTCCAACATGGCTGCCCACCTCCCTCTCGACACACGTTTACACATTTTAAGTGAATTAAAAAAATCAACCGAGGATGTAGGATGTGGATAGTCGCGATAGGAAGAGACAGTACATGAATTCGGAAACTCGTGTGTATGTAGAGAAAGTAAATGCCCTGGCCCATACGCGACTCGTCTCTCGTCGAGCGTGATGGTTTTACGAGCACGAAGACGAAACGGGATGATGATGCAATTATAAACGTATCCGTCCAGTTTCGGTTGATCGCCGAGGATTAATCTCCACGACTTTATTTATCGATAAAGGCGACGGCCTCTTTCGCAACCGGGGTGGTTGGGGGTGGGAGGGGAGGGCTAGTTTCCAGACTTGATAAAATTTTTTGAATTTGGGACAGACCGAGAAAACACAGGGTCGCCGGGGTCGTTCCACGCACGATAAGATACCGTACACGACATGGAAATATAAGTGCACTTGGGTTACGTAAAACCGATACAGAGGACGGTGGAACAGAGCGAGATTTCGTACGACGATGTAAATCATCGTCTTGGTAGCCGAGAGCGTTTCGTTGAAAACGCGTGTATCGAACGAGCAATCGGGA